CCCTCAAAGTTCAGTGGCATTTTTCATTTCATTTGTTCAACATTTCATCATTGTACCTTGAAAAACACAAACCTGTGCAGTAACTGTAAGTACCAGTTTAAAGTACCAGTTTAAATGACCAGTTTAAAGTACCAGTTTAAAGTACTATTTTAAAACCATTCTTTCTGATATGCTCCAGTTATAGCAGGTTTGACACAGCAGTAGGATTCTCCAGCAAAACCCATAAGAAACCATTTGTTTTGAACTAAAAACAATGAGCTAAAACGAGGAGAGGTGACAGGGCATCTGGGTTAATTCACAAGTCCCTCCTGTTAGAAAATTAAAAATGAAATTAAATGAGTGTTTGGATCACACGGACTGAAGGACGGTCTGTAGATGTTTTATAGTCAAAAGATAATTACTCATAAGAAAAGAACAATGAGTTGCATTCACTTAAACCAGGACTAAGCAAGAACTAAACCAGGATTTAAAAGATCTAATCTAGGACTAAACCAGGTTCTAAACCAGGACCAGAAGTAAACCAGGACTAAAACAGAATCAAACTACATCAGGGCCAGCTATACCAATGCTCAAACCAGGGCCAAATCTGGATCAAACCAGAACTAAACCCAGACTAGACTAGACCCGAACAAAACCAGGACCAAACCCAGACAGGTGAGATGAGTAAAGATAATATACTGTAATGATAAAGTACCTGAAACATATAAATATAAATAAAATATAAATAACTTTTACAAAAGTATTTTGAAAATCGAATAAATATATATTTTTAAATGGGGGTCGTGTACCACAGTTTGAGAACCACATCTACTAGACCACGTCATTAATCTGAAGTGTAAATTATAATAAAATCAGGATTGAAACAGGATTATCCAGGACTACAAGAAAAAGGGAAACTACCAAACATAAAATGAATCTGTAATTTGAATTGAAGTGAATAATGCCCTTTCTTTGAGGATGGTTCATTAATACGATAATTATATAAAAGTTGAATTACATCAGTGGTAGTTCATTAATATTCTTATGATAAAACAACCAATTAAAAGATTAAATAAAATATACACACATCGCATCTTAAGAAAAAAAAGGAGGGCATTTGACACGCAGGGATACAGGAGAATGGGAGGGCATCTGACACATCTACAGACAGTACTAGATCCTTCAGGCCCGTGTGGTCCAAATGTCAGACCAAAGTGCAGTTTTTAAACAGATGGAAGAATTCAAAACAAATAAAAAAAAAAAAAAAAAAGCACCAAAACACGACAGCGAGAGGCAGGGCTCCGTACGAACACCAGGGGGCGACACAGGGAGAACACAAGAATAAATACTTTTGTTGTTGTTTTTTTCAGCTAAAGGAAGTTTGGAAAATCAGGTCCTTCGGGTATGGCACGGCGAGGATGCAGCCGCTCCGTAGACGCGCTCCTCCGTAAACGCGCTCCAAACATGTCCGAGAACACGTCCAAACCTGTCCCATGTCCGAGTCTGTCGCGTAAAGTGCATCAGTGCATTCTGCCTGACCGGAAAACCACGAGGAGGCGGAAAACAGGAAGAGTCACCATTTCAGGAATCATCAGCAGATATTTAAAGGAGCTGTATGTATCCTGCCTCTTACACTTGTAAAAAGTGACTACAAACTCAAATGAACCTGCAGATAGATCAGTACATGGACAGACCAGGCCTCATGTGAAGCTCAGAACCTTCACAGTTCCCTCCCTGAACTGCAGAGGTTGCACTAGCACTGACTCATGACTGGCGCAGGTGCTGGGGTTTAGGGAGCAACCGTTCGGACCAGAGACATTTTAGATTTAAACACTGGATTTCACCATTGAAACTGGCAACTCGAATGAGAGAGTCATGTGAGGCTCATTTTGCTTTCTGATTGGAGAATAACAAGAATAACAAGACCTCTCTGGACACAGATAGGTCACGTTTATGGATTAATTTCAATCAAAATCTTACATACAGTTCCTTTAAATTCCTGTTTGAATTTTCGAAATACCTTCTGATCATTTTGTTACCCACTTTTTTACAAAAAACTTCTGTCCTTTTTCTTATGGCACGTGTTTAAAGCAGTTTCATCATTTCACATCAATAAAACTAAAATTAAAATCAACATTTGCATAAAAATTAGATTCAGACATAAGCAGGGCCAGCCCATACGTCCAGAGATCCTGACAAATCAAAGTCTATCAAAGCCTGAACTGAAAGAAGAGCTGGATTCAGAATTTCAGGTGAGATACAGAAGTTTTCAAACCTGTGGGTCACAACTAATCAAAGTGAACTGAAGCTCAGAGGTTTTAGATTATTACTGAAGATTTACTCCATTATCCGATTAGGATCATTTTCCTCATTAACAAACCTCTGAAATCTGTGGGGCAACTCCAGAAGACAATTTACAAAAAATACAAAAACTATTGAATATTATGATAAGCCAAAAGTGGTTTGTAACTTTAAAAGGCCTCTACCTGATTTTTCTTTGATGTTTTGAGCAAAATGTGTCTTGTACAGTAGAACAGGACTGTCGGCATTTTAGCCGAGAATCAGGAAGTGCCGATTAGCATGGCAGTGGTTGTGTACAAAGTTGTGTGCATTAAATTAGAAAGTGTTTTATTTGTTTATTTGAGTTGTGAAAAGTGCTTCTAAACTTGTCATAACCAAAATGAACTTGCTTGGATTTTCCTGTTTTTAAGATAAAAAAAATCAGGTACAGGGAATTTAAGGGACTTTCTTCTACAATTAAATAAAAATAAAAAAAAGAACAAATTAAAAATTTATTTGGAGCCAATGAAGAAAATCATACTTCCTGTTTGTCTTATATTTTTCCGCCTCCTCTTTTCCGTGGGCTCATTGTGGCTCTACTGTCCGGGATTCCGACTCACCGCTGGTTCTGTTCAGATCCTGGTCGGGTTTTTCCGGGTCTGGACTGGGATTTCTGGGGTCTAAACTGGACTCTTCCGTCTCTGGACTGGTTTTGTCTGGGTCTACGCTGGTCTTAGCTGGTTCGGAACTGGATTTGTCGAGATCGGAACTGCTTCTGCTCGAGTCCTGGCTGGTTCTACCTGGATCGTAGCCGGATTTGCTGGGATCCTCCCTGTTTTCCTCATGATCCTTACTCGCATCCAAGTCCGGACTGGATTCTAGACTGGTCTCTAGTGCCCTGCTGGTCTCCACTGCGTCCTTGTGGTTTGAAATGCTTTCGTTCAAATCCTCCCTGTTTTTCTCTGGATCATAACCGGTTTCGCTGGGGTCCTCCGTGGTCTGGTCTGAGTCCAAGCCTGGTTCTGGACTCGTCTGGGGTCTTTTGCTGGTCTCTTGGTTGCTGGTTCGACTCCCGATGCTGCCCACGCTGATGCATTCGTCTTCGGTCTCTCCCTCTGTCTCCTCTGTGATATCCAGGACCTCCACGTCGCCCTCGTCGTCCTCCTCCAGCTCCAGCAGGTGGCGCTCCCCCGGCCCCTCCACTTCCGCGCACGCCGCTGATGATGTGGCGCTCTGTGATTGGTCGCTGGGTCGCTCTGGCTCCCTCTGCTGGACAGGCCGGTGCACAGGTTTGACCAGCCCCTCGTCGTAAACTTTCAGAATAGCCTCACACACGAAGCGGTACTGACTCTGAGGAGACAGAGACACAGAGAGGAAACACGTTTGATTAAAAAATACATTTTACTTCATAACTTTAGATGGAACTGGGGCCAATATAATTCTATGGGAGATTCACTTTTTCTAAAGGAATCTCCAAACCTCTGCTCCACAAATGTTTCTCCTCCTCGTTCTTTGTTCGGGATCAGCTCCACAAACTTGTCATATGAAACTTATGTCTTAATGGCTCCACTTCCTGAGGCGATTGTAAAAAAAAAAATAATAATTTGACTTTAGTTTATTTCTCCTGACAGAGAAGATGCTGAAATTTGTGCCAGTTTTTGTTTCATGTGGATAGGCCCAAAAATGACAGAAATATGAACCATGAACCAGGTCAACACTTTCTGTACTCTGACAGTTAATGGTCCGATATTATGCCGTTTTCTGATCTCTGTTCTAATGTAGTTTCCTTGTCACAAACAGACCTGCAGTTGTGTTTTGTTTCATTCACACATGTTTAACACACAAAGAGTTCTTCTCTCAAACCCAAAAACACTGTTATTTAAGCATTGGTTTTCTGGGCACATGAGTAAATGGAAGGCTTAAAAGGACAGTTCAGGATTTTGGACACAGGACTTCATTTCCTCGTGAGCCAGAAACGTGTGGAGACACTTTTTTAAATATTCCATCCAGTCCTTGTATTTGTTGGTGCAGACAAGTCCATTTGCTGGTGCAAGGCTAGCACAACCTGTCACTAAAAACAGTCTTACCTACTCCACAAAACACTCGAAACAAATCTATTATTACACCAGACTGTCCATGTGAATGTCTGTGTTGATAGAATAATTTTAGAAGTAAAACCAGCCTTGCATTTGAAGGATTTCTGTGTGAGCAGCAGCAGTGAGTTGTACTTCCTGATAGAAAGTTTGGCAGCGGCGGACTGATATATGAAAAAATAGTTCCTCAACATGCAACAAATCATGTGATGCAAGGTTAGTTTTATTTCAAACATTATTCTTCTGACACAAACATTCACATGGACAGTCTGGTGTAATAATAGATTTGTTTCAGGTGTTTTGTGGAGTGGGTAAGACTGTTTTTAGTGGCAGGAGAACTATGGCCATTGACATGTACTAGTCTAGCACCAGTGACCTCTGCAAATACAAGGACTGGATGGAATATTTCAAAAAGTGTCTCCACACGTCTCCAACACTCTGGATCACTAGGAAATGAGGTCCTCTGTCCAAAATTCCAGACTGTCCCTTTAAGGTGACTTTATTATCACTTATTACTTTCTGTATTAGCCTTATTTGCCTTCTTGTTACTTTGATTAAGTTAGTAGTTTTAGTTAATGATTTCGTGTGATTCTCTCCTCTTATGTTGAGTTTTTGTTGGCCCTCATGTATTTAAACAGTCCTGTTTATTGTCTGGTGGGTTAGTTTTGTTCTGTTCAGTTTGATTTAAATTATCCCAGTTGGGCCTGGCTTTTGTTAAAGGGTCCATCTCACGCTAAATCAACTTTTCAGATCTTTCTACCTTCTAAGAGTGATGTGTGGGCTTGTATTTGTTGCTGAAGTGGTTTTTAGATTGATTCTGCTTTTTTTTTTTTTTAACAAATTGCAGTGTATTTCTGCCACCCTCCCATGTGACAACCAACTAAAGCTGCTACAACGATGACGTGGCAGCTACACTTATGATGTGTTCAATGTATCAGAAAACGCTTCACGCTTCGGAGCCTGTGCTTTCTCAGGACGGGCGAGGGGAGGAGCAATAGTCGGACTTTCATAGTTCCTGGTCTGTGACTGTCTCCAAGAAATCAGTAAGATTTAAGAACTATTGTGGAATGGATGTTCCAAAACCCAAACTGTGCTTGTTTATGTGCAAGAGATACAATGTGAAAAGAGTTATTTTGTATGAGATGGGTGCTTTAAACTAGAGAGATTCTATATTGTGTTGATTTCCATGTATTTTTCTTATAAAATCAACAAATGAATCATTAAGAGGTTAAAAGTGAGATTTCTGTTGGTCTTGAAAAGCAGAGATACTGGTTTGGGTCTGTGCGCCCTCTGCTGGTAAATACTCTTAAACACTAAAAACATGTCGATTATTTAAAGTAGTTGTAAAATGTCTTCACCGGGGTCTGGATCATCATGGCTCTCTGGTCTCTCATGGTCCTCACGATGTCCAGAGGAAACACTGGCTGACCACACTCCATCAGACACAGGGCCGTCTCCATGGTGATGAGGACGCCTGTGCGGCCAATCCCAGCGCTGCAACAACACAACACAATCACCCAATCACAAACAGAGCCGTCGTCATAGTGATGAGACAACTGACGGACATTTGTGGCTGATGTCGTCAATATCCCTGGGCAAGTGTAGAAAGTAGCTAACTACATTTACTCACATTACTGAAATTGAGTAGTTTTTATGAGTAATTTTTTAATTTAAATAGTTTTTGAAACAGGTAATTTTACTTTTACTCGAGTACATTTTAACCCAAGTATTTTACTTCAATACATTGGAACTCGCCCTCGTTACTGAGTAAAATCAGATTGATAGAGAAAAAAATGAAAAAAATCTGCAGTAAGTAAAAGTAAACATTGCAGGTTTCAGTCAAGAGTCAGTGAACAGAACCGGTCTGTCTCAGACCAACTTGATGATGCTGGAGCCACAGAGCTACAGATCGAGGTCGTCATGGCAATTTTTCATTTCTTGTATCTTATACTCCTATATGGTGTGTTATGTGTGCAACATTTTCATTTTACATACTTTGATTTTGGTTTAATTCTCTTTCTTTTTTATTGTAGTGAGTTGTTGTGACCATATAATTCAGAATTTGTCAAATTTTTATTTTTTATTTTTATTTATTAAATGTTATACAGTTAAAGTTCTAAGTTCTATAAAGTTGTATAAAAAGAAGGAGGAGCTCAGGGTTAGTGTGAGTCAGTGTTAAGATCAGTTGTTTGCACTGAACAAAGTTTGTCTGTATCACCTTTTGATTCAAAAAACTTGTGCCGGATTACTTGAGTAGGAATTAAGCAAAGTAAAGATAGTTTTCCTTAATTACAATTTTTCAGTACACAGTCCACCTGTGTCCCTGGGGGTGTAGGCTCGGCTCTGTCTGAAGCTCTGTTACTCAAGTTCGACTTGAATCAGAACTTCATTTGAACAGTCTGACCATAAAGGACTGACTTATCTGAACTACAACAGATGAGTCGATCTGTGCTGTTGAACAAGTCTCTCTCAAATAACATCACAAATAACTCTCAAATAACATCAGCCAACAGTTTTTTACCTTTTAGTTGGAAATCAAACTCCTAAACACGACCATGAACGCTCGGAGTGATTACAGGTTCCTGAAAATGTGCTCTTTAAATGCATTTAGGATTTTTTTTTCTTGTGTTTTCAGACAATCTTAAAACTTATTCAGCAGTGTGACATGTGTGCTCTGTGCCTCGGAGATAACAGCTGAACATTTCAAATTAAAGACACAGTGTGAGGTCATTGCAAAATATCAATAGATGGCTCTTGTGCTGTGGGTTCAGTGCTAACCTGCAGTGCACCACCACGGGCTGGTCCTGCCCCGAGCGCTTGGACCGCACCAGAGTCACAAAATCCAGGAAGTCTGTGGAATCATCGGGAACGCCGTGATCCGGCCACGCTAAGTACTGGATCTGTGTCAGCTCCCTCTGCTGCCCGCTCTGAGGAGGTGCACCACAAACATGCACGTCACTATCCACATGCCCTCCCTCCCTCCTGTGTGTCAGATGCCCTCCCACACTCCTGTGTGTCAGACATCCCCTAAACCTCCTGTATCCCTGAGCATCATGTACTTTCCCTGTGTGTCAGATGCCCTCCCTCCGTCTCCCGTGTGTCAGATGCCCTCCCTCCGTCTCCCGTGTGTCAGATGCCCTCCCTCCGTCTCCCGTGTGTCAGATGCCCTACCCGTCTTTCCTGTTTTATATTTAAACACTCGCTCTTCCCTCACTCTGCTCTTTGTTTGTTGTCCTATATTCTCTCCATCCCCGTGAATGATTCGGATGCGTCGTCATGGAGACAGTTCCCACAGCATCAGGACCACATCCCACACTGTCGCCATGGAGACTCAACATCCCACCATCCTCAGCCCTGCTCTTTTATCTCTCTCTCCTGTGTCCCTCCTCTCTCTCTCTCTCTCCTCCTCTCTTCCTCCATTTGGTTGTTTTGTTTTTTACTTGTACATCCAAATAAATGGTCAATAATAAAACTATATTCTATTCAATATGTTGAAGCTTTTCATTATGTTCTAGCTCTCATGCTGCTCTCCTCTTCTCCTTCCTCCCTCTCTCCCTCCTCACTGTTTTGTGCATGAGGGTCATGTCCCTCTCTCCTCTCTCCCCCTCTCTTCTTTCTAACTGATTTTTGCATGGGCGTCACACCCCTCTCCCTCCTCCCTCCCTCCTTTCCCCCTCTCTCTCACTTTGTCTCACTTTTTTGGTGAGCATCACCACCCTCTCTTTCTCTTCCCTTCCCCCTTCTCTCCTCCCTCCCTCCCCCCTCTCCCTCTGTCCCACTCCCCCTTCCCTTCACATTTCCACCTTTCTCTCTCCCTCCTCTCTCTCTCTCTCTCTCTCTCTCTCTCCTCCTCCTCCCCTCTTTCCCTCTACTCTCTGTCACTGGTTTGTGCGTGACCACCTCTCCCTCCCCATCTCTCTCTCCTCCCTCCTCCTTCCCTCCTCTCCCTCCTCCTTCCCTCCTCTCCCTCCCTCTCACCGGTTTGTGTGTGAGCGTCATCTCTCGAACGAGGAAGGCGGCACCGCCCTCTTCGTTATGGCAGGTGACGCTGAAGTCTCCGTACGCCGCGCTGCTCTCGGGGTTGGGCCAGTACTGATGACACTTCACCTGTGCACATAGACGACATCGAAACGCTTCACTAACACGTACAACCACTCAAAACACTCAAGTTCACCTGGTGACATCACCAGGTGGGAATCCTTTGTGTTTTTAAAGTGCACATGGGTTTCACAGTTTTCTAATTTGGCCTTAGTTTGATGGGATATTATCTATGCTAAATGTGGGAGGGCATCTGGCACACTTACCCGTCCTCTCTCCACCTGTGTGGTCAACATGACCACCAGAGACGAGCCCTGCTCCCACGTCATTTGCCAGAAGTCTGGGCACGTGTGAGGGAGCGGGCCCTGACAAGCGATGTACCGGTTTATCAAACTCCAGGCTGGAATCTCCATCTGACAGACAGAGCAGAGAGGCAGAGAGGCAGAGAGGCAGAGAGGCGGAGAGGCAGAGAGGCAGAGAGGCAGAGAGGCAGAGAGACGGAGAGACGGAGAGACGGAGAGAGAAAGAGAAAAGAAGAGAGAGGGACAGAGAGACAGGAGAGAGAGGAGAGAGAAAAGAGAGACAGAGAGAAAAGGAGTGAAAGACAGGGTGAAATGAAGAGAGAGGCAGAGAAGAGAGGGAAGATGGAAGAGGGGAGGGTAAGGACAGAGGTGGAAAGAGGTAAAGGAAGGAGAGCAAGAAGGGGGAGAAAAAGAGGGGAGAGAAAAAGGGGAGAGAAAGGAACAAAGAGAGGGGGCAGAAGAGAAAGATAAATTATATGTAGTCACGTAAACAACCTAAGTGACTCTAAACATCCACCCCGTGTCAGAGGACTGTCAGGCCCAAACTGGAATTTTATATGGCTCAACAGTGTGGAGAACCTGGATCTTCTCACAAGAACCACAGTGAACTCCTGGATCTTCTCATGGACCACAGTAAACTCTTGAATCTTCTCACATGGACCACAGTAAACTCCTGGATCTTCTCATGGACCACAGTAAACTCCTGGATCTTCTCATGGACCACAGTAAACTCCTGGATCTTCTCACATGGACCACAGTAAACTCCTGGATCTTCTCACATGGACCACAGTAAACTCCTGGATCTTCTCACATGGACCACAGTAAACTCCTGGATCTTCTCACATGGACCACAGTAAACTCCTGGATCTTCTCACATGAACCACAGTAAACTCTTGCTCTGTATCTTTAGTATAATGAACAGAAACATGCTCAGACTTACGTTGATGTAGTTTGCGTTGATGTAATCATCGGTGCTTTTCAGGATCACTCGAGTCGCATCATCTGCACAGAGAGAGACGTGTGTTTCAAACATCACACTCAAATGTTTGATTTTGTTTAAAATAAAGTGCATATAAGATTTACATTTTCAGTTTCATCAACTTGACCTATCTGTGCCCCTATAGGTACAATTGTAATGCAAATTTATTCTTACAGGTCCCATATTGCACTATTTTCTCATCTATGTTATCGTGTTTCATTCACACAAACCCTCCATATTCAGGCGAGAGAAAACACTGTTCCACCTTGTGATGTCATGTGGCAACACAAGCTGTGCTCCACTGTGTTTCAAACTCCATTCACTCTCACTAGAATCATTTCAATGCTTTCAGTGATGGAATTGTCAGGCTCCCCTCACAGCTGTGTGATGGCTGCTGCCTACGTTGGGTTAACTCCACACCCCTCCCTGACCCTGTTGCTAGTCCTGTGAAATGTTCCTGCTGTGTTTGGACTATGTGCTGATGTGGCTGAGGTGTTTTTTGTGTGCATTCTACCATACTATGCCCTGATAGGAGCACAGTCTGGGGCTGATCTCTCTTTTTTTCCTCCAGTGTGTTTAAACCTAAAATGTCTCTCTCTGATCTGAACGGTCTCTCCCTAAACCCAGCACCTGCACCATCATGAGTCAGTGCTAGTGCAGCATCTGCAGCTCAGGGAGGGAATCCTGGAGGTTCAGAGCTTCACATGAGGCCTGGTCTGTCCATATAATGAGAATGAGGAAAAACTTGTCCTCTGTGTACATATCAGGCTGTGGCAGCACAGGTTCAGTGAGTGTAGTAACTTTTTAACACAAAGCAGGACACAGACAGTTCCTTTAATGATGCTGCTGCTTACAATGCCATTTAGTTTAATATTAAATCTGTTTATAAAAGAAAAAAAAATTGTGTAGTGTTAAACCCGCGTACAGGGAGAGATGTCTCTGTAGCGGTTCTTGGAGACGTTCTGAGGTAATTTGGCACAAAGCATGGTCATCCCCGGGCGCTTCCGGTACAGGGCCTGTGAGGGCAGCACAGAGCACACACACAGACATTTAAACATATTTAAATACACATGGTTGTAATGTTTTTCTCATCCTGACTTGGTTTGGTGGATAGTACCTGTGGTCAATATGTATCTTAGTTTTGCATCAGTTAAGTGGCAGTATGTGGGAAAAAAGCTGAGAAGGAAAAGGAAGTAGCTCTGAACTGTAAAACAGAATCCCTTTACCCATGTCATCAACACGAAAAACTCCATCTAAAATGCAGACAATTTACCCCTAAGAAAGGCATTTCTTCTGAGAGTGTTTTAAAGCTTCATTAAACTATATTCAATTATTTTATATTGTTTTATTAGTCTAATCACAACTATTGTGTAATTTAGACAAGGTTTGTCCCCGTCTTATGCACTTGGAACATAAACTAATCTAAACCACATGCACTGAGAGTGTGCCTCACATCAAACTGCTGCAGCAGCGCCCCCTGTCGAAGCCCCTCCCTCAGTGTGCTCATGGACTCTCTCAGGGCGTTTTGGTCCAAACTCGAGTCCACTGGACTCTTCTCTGGGATGTACTGAAACTCCGGCTCAGAGTCCTTCTCCTCCACCACGTCGTAGATTGCTGAAAACACACATTCAACACAGGTTACAGCTGTCAGACACACTGAGGTACAGGTCTTAGTGGTTTAAGAGGGGAGCAAACGAGGTTATTTTTGTTTGAAAACACAATCCATCTTTGAACAGGGGGGCTGTTGAGGGGATGAGGGAATGAGGGGCTCAGACATAATCTTTCTCTCCTATTTACAACTCCATTCTCAAACCTAAATTAAAACAAAACAGTAGTGACTGCCTGTATGCTCAGAGGTGTGAAAGCACCCATCAGGGGCCTGAACCATTCTGCTAATAGAGACAGTTCACACTTAGCTAGGTCTATAGAACTGCACTAACAAATAGAGTAGTTTCAGTGTAGTTAGCTCCTCCATTCAGGCAGATATAAGGCAGTGTCCACCAAAGTCTGAAGACTAGGACTCTGAAGAAGCAGCTTGGGTGCTAATTGAATTTTTCGTTTGCTATGATCAGAGATCAGACTTTACCAGAGAATAGTCACATGCTCAAAACACTGGAGCTGCACTCAGTTTTAATCAGGCTCCGTGGACTCCCTGTCAGAGTTTAGAATTTTATTTTTTTCCTAAAAGCATGTTAAGTGAACAGAAGTAAGTTAATGACAGATGACCATCTGACAATCAGCCCGTGTAATCTTATACAGTTATACCCAATCAGTGGAGAGAATCAGTTAAGAATTGTCATGTTGTATAAATGTAAAAGGTTCTACGGCTGTGTTTCACATCACAACAAACATATTTCATACAGATGGAGGAGCTCAAATCAGTCTTGTGCAAATGCAGATCTGTGTTGTAATACAGTGAGTCCTACTCACTAATAGTAATGGTCAGGTGAACATTTGTGAATTTACGGTTTGAAGATTTCATGCTAAAGAATGGTGTAATCTAAAGGGAAAACATTTCTCAGCCCATCTGACCAGAGCGTGACATCATCACATTTTAGAATCTTAAAAAACGCCAGTGGCAAAAACTGTTGTTGTGTCCTTAGGCACTTCACCCACATTGGCTAGTATGAAAGTGGTGTGAGCGTGAGTGATGGTGGTGGTCGGAGGGGCCGATGGCGCAGATTGGCAGCCTCGCTTCCGTCAGTCTGCCCCAGGGCAGCTGTGGCTACAGTAGTAGCTTACCACCACTGAGTGTGGAGTGACTGAATAATGAACTGTAAAGAGCTTTGGGTATCTTGAAAGGTGCTATATAAATGCTATCAATCAATTAATCAATCAGTAGGGTACATTTGCTCACTGCTCTGCATGAGCAGGATAAGTATCTTTTAACATAGTATTAAGTGATAAAGTGTATTGATCATTTCCAGCCGAGGTGACGTGATGTCACTGTCAAGTATCAGTAAAGAGTACATGAATGGGGGGCATCTCACCGTTTGGCCGCACCAGCAGTATCAGCTCCCCCGAGTGACTCTCACAGCTCGCCTTGATGAACATGACCACTTGGTCGTGGGTGTGGTCTGAGATGTCTCTGCCGTTTATTAGCAGCACCTGGTCTCCCTCATTCAGACGCGGCACACACAGGTCCGCCTTAAGACAAAAAAACACAAAAAAAACCCAATACAGATGCATAGTAAACAAGCAGGATCACACCAGGGAGGACTGCCTCAAAACAAAAGATCACCACTGTAACGAAGGCAAATAAACAGACACACACAGGTCTGCCTTAAAACTATTTGGTTATCATGAGTAAACACAGCAAAAATATAAACAGGGTCAAACACGGGTTCACCTTAAAAACGATAAATGAACAAGGCAAGTTAATACCAGGATCACACATGGGTCCATCTTTACAAACTGTATAAGCAGAGAATTCTGCTACACATGGCAAGAAGATACTAGGATCACTCACATGTCCAACTTAACAGTACAGTCACTGTTGTTAGATATGTCCATTGATACATACAGTCTATGATATACTAATAGAAATAGCATTAAAAATAAACAAGACAATATCAGGATCATAAGCCAAAGCTGTACTATGTAACTGTTACGGTTTGGGGTCCTCTACCTGCTTGTCTCCATGGAGATTGTCACTACTTTGCCAGGAATGTTCCACAGTAGGACAATAAACTTTTCTTCCTCTTATATATTATTCAATTATATTATAATTGCTATTATTACTCAAAAATGCATAGAAAAATATGCACTCTTTGCACAGATCTGACTTGTAACTTGGCCTGGTGTGGCAATAATTTTAAAGTGATATTAGAATAACATCTCCATGATGGTAAAAGTGACACAGTGTAGCTTTAATGTAAGAAAAGAACTTCCAGATCTCAGTCCTGTCCGCTGCACGTGTGAGACATTGGCATTTCGTCCATGGGCGGGACTTAAAATGTGTTTTCCTATGTTTTCCTATTTTGACAATATATTTTTTCACAGTCAGGTTAGGGTCAGGATTAGGTTTGGGAACAAATAAATTTGGGTCTTGGAAAAACGGAGCTGCAAGTTTAGACAAAAGATAAAAAAAAATAAAAGTATTAGTTAACTGTATTTAACAGATCACAAAAATACTGTCAATGTCTCTGAACTTTAAGATTTGCTGTAATCACATCTGCTGATTATGAAATGAACTCTCTCTCTACGGGAGCACACAGCAGTGAGTTTCCTTTGACTGACATGGAACACTAAGCCCTGTCAAGAAGTTAGGTCCCCAGTGAGGTTAGACCCATTGACCCTCTGGAGGGAGGGCGAGCACCGAACCCACAGCACCAACACGTCAAATCTGAGTCAGTTTATCTCCATTTTGTGCAGATATTATGGGATGGATGTTTCAGTTTCACTCACCGAGGTCCCAGGAGCCACTCTGGACACGATGATGGGCATCTTCTGATCCGCCCCTCCCTGAAAGAAAGAGAGGGAGAGGTACAGAAACAGAGAGAGAGAGAGACAGAGAGAGAGACAGAGAAAGACAGAGAGAGAGGGAGAGAGGGAGATAGAGAGAGGGAAAGAAAGAGGTGTGAGATAGAGAGAGAGAGGAAGGGCAGGAGAGACACAGAGAAAAATGATACACTTAAATACACTTGATTCTTCCATTGGCAGAACATGAGTATGTGGACGAGTCCAGTACAAATTTGTACCTTGACGTTGAATCCAAAGCGTCCGTGTTCGTCAGGTCTCATTTTGATCAGCACCAGGTTATCATGAGGCACCACTCCATTCAACTGCAAGATCATAAGACAAGAAACCACAATAAACTACAGTAACCTACAGTAACCCACTGTAAACTACTATAACCACCCACTGTAAACTATTGTAAACCACCGTAGATCAAAAACTACCGTAAACTACAGTAAACCACAGTAAACCACAGTAAACCACGACAAACTACTGTAAATTACAGAGCTGAGGCAGAATCCAGTGAAATAAACCCATGATCATGTAGAGTGGGTTAAAACCAAATATGACATATGAAAAGATCAAAATGACAAGTGACAGCTGCAGTTAAAGAGAGAGGGGCAATGTTTTTTCAAAACAAGTGAGTTGGAGCCAGATTCGATGGAGCCCAGTCATGCTCATGCTCACTTCCTGTATGGAACGTGGCAGCTAGTAGGTTAGCTATGTCCAGAGAATGTACAGGCTACGGTGGCCTCACTGTGGAGGGTCTAAAGGCTGCGTGACTGTGTCAACAGTATCAAGAATGAGATACTACTCAATATTAAACACAAACAAGATGCTGATTAGAGCAGGTATCCATACTAAAAAAGTCCCATTGACAGGACAGAACCTTTCCTGAATGTCTTTAGAATGATCCTGAGCTGTATCAGAACAAGAGCACATAGATCATTATACACACACACGGACCATTATGAACCTACTGCACCACTGACGATTATACACATATAAGAAAAGAAAGTAACACCATTTCATGTTGAAAATCACATTCTACTGCCATTGTGGTATTGGAATCTGTATTGAGTACCAAATCTGTTGCTTAGTATCAAAATCGAGTTTGCAGTTTTAGCTGTGTGCCAGCAGAAGTTTGGGCTCCCTGGACTCACGGTGGCGCTGTCGGCTCCCGGCTCGTCGTACAGTTCGTTCAGGTGATTGTCCAGGCTCTGTTGGGAGTGGGCCTGGATGATCTGACTCAGGGTTTTTCGGCTCAACTGTTTGGGCGGCAGAGCGGGAGGCTGCCCATCTACACCCTCCGGAGACCTGGGCACAAAGGCATAAATGTCATTTACATATCATTTACACACCATACATTTAGCAGAATACTGGAGATTTGAGATGATACAGGCTATTGAAAATATGTTCTGTTTAAACCTTTGAGAACTGAACCAGGACTGAGGCACTGAGTTCAGTCGAACCACCATGTTTTCTCCAACCAAGTGATGCTTTCCGATAGGACTGGGTGATACGAGGAAAAAAAAAAAAAAAAAGAATAAAAATAATTCTTTCCCATAATGGTCTAAATTTTCAATTCAATCTTCTTTCGTCTTATAGAAAAGAGCAGGGCATTAAAATCACTACAGTTTTTATTTTGTGTTGATTGGACCAAAAATCTCTGAGAAATTCACATTTAAAGTTTAGAATGAGTTTGTACAATGTATTAAGACTAAAAGCATTATCGTTAGAGGACTAAACATAAATAATAAATGTGCACGTGCATTACCGCCATCAACAGAAACACGTGTGAAGTCCGTGAGCTAAATCAAGACTTAAGTTTCACTCATAAACTGTGAGTTAATATGTAACTTTCTGTATTGAATCATAATGATAAGAAGCAGAAGAGGAGAGTAAGAGGAGAAAAGGTGAGGAGCTGGATCAGAGAGGGAGGGGGAGCGGGGGAGACGACTCCGTCAAATTATGCAGATTTAAGTCAAAACTTGTGAAACGTGAGGACCTGTGAGGAAACAGAGACACGCTGTATTAAACGAGACTGTGTTAAGTCCTCGTCAGGACCACACACTCTTACTGCCACACGACTGGCTGTAGACCTGTTGATTCAAATGCACCTGTCTTATCAAAGATCAGCCAAAGTAGAGATCACAATCTACTGATCTTATAATTTTTGCCACAGCCCTTTCCAACCTCACCTTGGGGGCATTCTATTCTATCTCAACAAGTCCAGGCTTATCCTGAAATCCTGATTTGAAACTAGCTCCAACTCCAGCTCAGGTTTATTTCTGTCATGTACAGACGTGAGGCTTGAGTCTGACCAAAACTAACTCAGGCCTGAAGTTTAAACTGCGCTTTGTGCTCTCTGACCGTGGAAGGTCACCGGGAGACCTGGAGCCATGGAGCAACAGCATCATGGACTCAAAGTGTGATGTTTTTTATGATCTGAAAACAAGAGAGGTCCCGCAGCAAACATGAACAAGAGTGTCTGAGCAAAACCTGCAGTTACCCACAATGTTCCATCTAAAATAACTCATATATAAACAACATGGCTAAGCCCTTTTTAGACCCAGTTCAGTCCCGCTTCAGTCTCCCTTCAGAGAATTTTTCTTACGGCGTGGAGTCCAGTGAGATGCTGTTGGCCTGTGTGGACGATGCAGACTTGTGATTTGACGAGAAAACAGGAAGTGAGGGCGAGGAGTGGATCACATGATCAACCAGGTGACCCACGGAGGAGGGGCGTACGCGGGTGCCTTCCGACACGAACAGGGAGTTTCTGAAACAAGACAATAGATTAAAAAACAACGGACAGCAACTAATAGTCTATAGTCCTCGGGTCGGTCCTCGGTTCAGTTTCTGGTAAAATCCTGGTTCAGTGAGTCCCGGGTTCAGTCGGTCCCGGGTACAGTCCCTGGTTCAGTCCCTGGTTCAGTACTTGTTGGGGGTTCCGGGGGGGGATCTGTTGGGGAGGCTCTGTGTTTCCAGGCGTTCCTCTGACAGAGAGTTCCTGCTGACTGAGTCCCAGTCTGAGACCAGCTTCCTGCACAGCGGCTTCGACGGAGACCTGAGGAACAAGTACAGCTAATATTACAACGAACATATTCAACAAACACATGTAAAGCACCGTGGCTCATTATATTTTGTAGAATTTATGAAGAATTTGCACATTTTAAATCACAGTAGTGATCTAAAATGACTTCTGCGTTACAAAACGGTGGTGCCCAATGGGAGCAAACACCATAAACTTCATCTCAACAAAGCACCACATGCTGTTGGCCCCTCCCATGGATAGCTGCACATTAGTGACTCAGACTTTTTGTACCAAAATGACATCATGAGTGGATTATATGAAAGCGCCAGAATGTAAACTGACGGAGCTCTATATTAGAGATCAACTGTTTTTTGTGTGTTTTTCATGGCCTATACCAAATGTTTAGAATTAAAAATAGATAGTACAGCACGTTTTGTATTACCACATGACATCATAAGGTGGACCAGTTCAAAAGAGAGAGACAAGACTAAAATGACAAGTTTGTGAAGCCAATCCCAAACAAATAATGAGAAGGTTCAGCATTTGTGGTTCAGAACTTTGGACATTTCTTTCAAAACAGTGAATCTCCCATAGAATTAGATAGACAAGAGACAGGTAAGAGACAGGTAAGAGACAGGTAAGAGACAGGCGAGAGACAGGCGAGAGACAGGCGAGAGACAGGCGAGAGACAGGCGAGAGACAGGTGAGAGACAGGCAGAGAGACAGGCGAGAGACAGGTGAGAGACAGGTGAGAGACAGGTGAGAGACAGGCGAGAGACAGGTGAGAGACAGGCGAGAGACAGGCGAGAGACAGGTGAGAGACAGGCGAGAGACAGGCGAGAGACAGGCGAGAGACAGGCGAGAGACAGGCGAGAGACAGGCGAGAGACAGGCGAGAGACAGGTGAGAGACAGGTGAGAGACAGGCGAGAGACAGGTGAGAGACAGGCGAGAGACAGGTGAGAGACAGGTGAGAGACAGGCGAGAGACAGGCGAGAGAGACAGGTGAGAGACAGGCGAGTTAGACAGGCGAGTTAGACAGGCGAGTTAGACAGGCGAGTTAGACAAGCGAGTTAGACAAGTAACAAACCTGGCGAACACTCGGTCTTTGATGCCCTTCTCTTTGCCGTACTGCACCGACTGCACCTCCGTCCGACCACTGCACAAACACATGTATATTATATATATATTATATATAGATACATATATTATACATCATTCATAGATCTCTACAGAAGCACAAAGATCAGAGTACACAAACCATGCATATATATGTAAAAGGTGTAATCGAAACAAAAACTAAAATAAAAATACAACTTTGAATTAAATCCTTTAATGGCTAAAGCTGCACTATGTAACTTAAATCCTCATCCAATCCTCAGTTAACCCCATTTAAATCAATGGAGAGTTAAAGACGTTAATACTAATCTTACTTTAAGAGCTTTCAGTGTTTTGGTTCTCACCAGTATCTGAACTTTGACCCCAGGGTGAAGTAGTGGCTGAAGAAGTTCTTGTGAGGGGGTAGGGGGCGCTCTAGTCTGAAGAAGGTGTGGTGCTCCACACAGGCCTTCCACAGGTTCTTACAGGAGCGATAGTTCCCCATATGGAACCCGAGCAACGTCTCCCGTGACTCCGACTGGAAACACCAGAACGCACATGGGAACAGTGAATCATCTGCACCCTCTGAGCCTCTCCTCTGCACCCTCTGAGCCTCTCCTCTGCACCCTCTGAGCCTCTCCTCTGCACCCTCTGAGCCTCTCCTCTGCACCTCTCCTCCTATTTACATTTTTTGTTAGAAACCAATACCCGATAACCCATATCTGCCAACACCAATTTTTGACTCATAACATCAGAAACTGAATAGATCTGACAGATCAATATAGTATTTAGTGTGACAAAAGTGAAAAGTCATGGTACGCACCACTTCTCGGCGCAGCTGGATGAAAAACTGTTTACATTTGAATGAGATCTTCACGATTTTTAACCTGAAAGAGAGAAGAAGAGGTTAGAGAGACAAAGAGCTATTTTATACTCAGAGCATTTTAACTACACAGAGCTAGGTCAGAGAGAGAGACAGAGAGAGAGAAAGAGAAAGAGAGAGAGTCCCTTTGGAGCTGTGGTTCAGTTCTGACTCATGAAGCTTTTACTAAATATATTTCAACAGAGTCACATGACCACAACAGAGAGAGGGGGAGGGAGAGGAAGGGGGTGGAGGGAAAGTGGAAGAGCAGAGAAGAGTGAGTGAAGAGTGATAGAGAGAAAAAGAGTAGGAGCGAGGCAGCAGTTGCAATGGTTACTCCTCATATTCACATTTACAACTTTAGAGGCCCACCCCACCCTTTTTATCTTTCATGCCCCCTTCTCCTCCTCTCTCCCCCCTCCCTCTTCTCATTGGTCAGTTGTGGTGTCAGCTGTTGGGGACACTGCTGTGGTCTAAAATACTCCTCATGTTTCTGTTTGTGCAACACACAGACACACACAGACACACAGACACACACAGACACACACAGACACACACAGACACACACAGACACACACAGACACTGCACTCATTCATTCATAAAATACTATTAAACCATAGCAGCTTTGCAGAAACAAAACCAGACAGTGACACTCGTATTGTCTCACAGTAATACTGACTGCTGTCATTAATTATGAAATTAAAGCTACAGTATGTAACTTTCTGGTGATGGAAACAGAAAGTTAAATCTATACTTCTGAACATTCTCCATACAGACAGATCTGTTTAATGCCATACTGTGGATTGGAAGTTATATAGCCAAAGAAGGTCAGGTTTATGGAGATGCAAGCCCAGTCACAGTGAGGACGACTTTCAGTACAATAAACACAACCATAAAAATATACATGCTTTTATTTTAGTCTATATTTTCACACACACACAGATACATGTGTGTATGTAGATTTACAGTGTGTTGTTTCAGCTCCACAGAGAGGCTGACTATCTGTTCATGATGGACGTGGACAGTGTTTTTCGTGGCCGTGTTGGAGCAGAGGCCTTGAGTCGGCTGGTTGGCACGCTCCACCGAGGATACTACAGGGTCTGTTTCAGGTCACAACTGTGTTTAGTACAGACTGTGCAAAAGTCAAGCAGATTATTTCAACTTACTCTTTTGTGTCTGAACTGTCACAAACATGACTCATGTGTCCCCAAACAGCAGCGAAACATGTTTAAATATAACAATACTGAGAACTATTGAAATGCAGATTTATTCTTAATGACAAAAACACTGGACATGATGGACGAGTTGTTCATGTTATAATTAATCATCTGGGGTTTTGTTCTGTCTCTCTCTGATCTGAACGGTGACTCCCTAAACCTCAGCACCTGCAGCATCATGAGTCAGTGCTAGTGCAGCCTCTGCAGCTCAGGGGGGGAATTCTGGAGGTTCTGAGCTTCACATGAAACCTGAACATAAACTGAGAATGAGTCAAATGCAGATGTGTCTCTGTCTGCAGGTGAAGACTCTGGTGATCAGAGTCACTTTTTTAAAACTGAGTGCAGGTTTCACACTGTCCTTCAGCCTTCAGCAAATCCTTCCTGATTTCCAGAGACAAAAAAGTCCAAACTCTTGTATTTAGACGTCATCTTTCACCTCTGTTGACTTTTGCACCTGGCTGTGGCCTTTCTTTGTGTTGTAAATATCCTCTCAGGTTGAGTGAATACATTACAATACATGACTGCACTTGTCGTTTCCAGACAACAAAGCGTGAGGACTTCCCTTATGAGCGGCGTCCTAAGTCACAGGCGTACATCCCGCCGACAGAGGGAGACTATTACTACACTGCAGCCGTGTGGGGAGGGCTCCTGGACGACATGTACAGGCTGGTCAAGTACGACCTTTGACCTTGTTTTTTTAATGCATGATGTTAGATCAAACACTGTATACATGGACATAGTTAAACCGTGAGCGAGAGTGTTCCAAACAGGAGGTGAGCACATGTGCTTCCAGCTCCATCCACTCTGGCTTCCAATTCACTTTGTATTGAAAAGTGTCACCTCTCTCTCTCTGACTGCTTCTGTCATTTTAGTCTTAAAATGTTTGTATTAACTCACTCTACATGATCCTAAAGCTTTTATTTCACTATTTTGTCTGTAAATCATTAATAACAGACCAATCAGGTGCCTTCTTTCCCCAAGGCCGCACTGGCTTTAGCAACAGGTTTGATTGACAGCTAAACACACCCTGCTAAACCAGTGGCACGAGGGGCAGCACATGTGACATACATAGAGGTCATTCATAACTGTTACTAAGCAACCATAACGTAAATAATAGGCAAAACAAATCAAATTCAGAGTTACAATAAGAATTTTGTGATGAATCAATTTGCACAAATGTTCATTTGGGTGGAGATTTCCTGTTAATGACAAAGAGGGATTCTGTAAAACTCTGATCAACATTAACCACAGGTCAATCCACCAAACCCAGTCAGAATGAGAAACACATGAAAACCTGTCGCATGAGTTTTGATTAAAATCTGTTGGATGTTATTTGTGTTACTCATAGACACTGTGATGAGAAATCACAAGAGGATGCTAAAATCGGAGTGGAAGCAGCGTGGCAGGAAGAAAGTCATCTCAACAAGTAAGTCCCTTTTAAAGTTACACTGTGACACACGTCAAATGTGAAAGAGCTGCTACAGTTTAATAGGAAAGTCTACAACTCGGCTCAATATTGAGTTTGTTCATGATCTAAAACAAGAAAATCAAGCCCACAGTAGAAAATAGTGAAGAGTTAAAGCACAGAAACACACCCACGTACACACACACACACGCGCACACACGCGCACACACAACAGACTGTATGTATAAATGGACATAGTTAACCCGCTAACCACAGTGTTCTAATTAGGAAGTGAGCATGGGGGAGCTTCTGGCTCCAGCCACTCTGGATCTAATCCACTATACATTGAAAATGTGTTGCTCCTCTCTCTGTACCTGCCTCGTCATTTTGGTCTTAAAATGTTGGTAATGACCCACGACACATGATCCTGGGCTTTTTATTTGGTTGTTTTGTCCATTAATAAATTCCTCACTCCCCCTGTAGCTGTAGCATCATGAGCTTGTTTGACTGGAGCTGACGCTGTGGGTGACGTCACACTCACTTGGTCCACTTCTGTACTGTCTGTTCTGTCATCTGTCTTATTATATTTATATTATAACCAGACCAAGTTACAGCTCAGATCTGTGGAGAGGAATGCCTGTTTTTCTAGGTATTTTTGAGCAATAAAACCACCACTGAATTTAAGAAATGAAGGTCGATCTGTTTAATGTCACACTGTGGAACATTCTAAGCAGAGCAATGACATCCACACAAACAAGAAGGTGACGAACCCAAAACCGAAAAGTGACACAGTTTAGTGTGATATAAGAACTTTAAACAAAAATGTAAATGACTAGAGTGAATGTCTTTACGTTTACTGTGTTATTTTACAGATATTTCCTGTACAACAAACCCACCAAAGTGCTGTCTCCAGAATACCTGTGGTCAGACTACGAACAGGGTCATCCTGCTGACATCAGGGTGGTCAGGATCGCACAGGTGGTCAAGAACTACAAGGAAGTTAGGCCCAATGGTGGAAACTAGTGTGCACAGACTAAAGTAACTGCTTCTGTGTTTCTTACACTGTGGGAAGTCAAATCTGTTTTACAGCTGCAGCTGTTTGAGGAGATGATCAGGCAGAAGGGACACACCATCCAGCTTTTCTTTTTCAATAGTCAACGAATCAATATGTTAAAGGATAAACTAATATCATTTAAGAAAGTGTGGCAACCTCTTGATTTTTTATAATCTGAAACTATGTGAAAAACATCTCAAAATTCACAGATATATGTACCTGCGCAGGCCATTATTATGTTTATTCTCAGTTTGCAAAATTAATTTTTATTTTAACTTTTATATACCAAAAAGTATTGAGTGCTGTTGATCCTGTACAATTTGAATTGTGCTCTGTTTTTGGTTCAATAAAAATATTATGACTAAACTAATCAAATGACTATGTTTATTTTAGGGTTGTCAGAAGTATTAAAAATCAGACACTAACTGATACTAAAACTAGTATTGGAATTAGATCCTCATTTTTCACATGTATCCATATTAAAAAAAGTCATTGACAGGACAGAACTGAACTTTTCCTGAATGTCTTTAGAATGATCCTGAGCTCTAACAAAACAAGTAGAACACACATAGACTAGTACACACACATAGACCAACATGAACCTACTGGACCCTTGAGCATCACACACATATAAGGACACGGGGAATAGAAAAGTTCTATTATTTATTGTGTAAAAAAGAGGGATTTTTATTATCATCGTGGAATCAGAATCTGTATTGACTACTGAGTCTGTTCCTTAGTACTGAAATCGAATAGTCATAGTTACAAAAACATAAAATATAAAAACTGATCGTTATTCCTAGTTCTAAAAACGTCCTCTCCAGAGGGACAGGACCAGGAGACGCTGCATCGTTTCAGTTCCCAAACAAATGAAGTGTTGCTCGTCCTTCTGGACAAAGCTCCGGTTGTTCCTCTGGACACTGTGACTGTGAACATTGTTCCTTTAAATGATTAAACGTGTTTTTCCAACTATGGCCCAAGTGTCTTTTTATGACAAAGGTTTCAGTGTGAGACTTTATCTCTAGTGTCTTGTTCCACTGGGAGAGATTAAAGCCCACACAGGGGCTTTAATCAAGTACATGTTGTCATGGCTGCAGCTAAAAATAATGACATAAACCATCAGTGTTTCCCAAAGCTTGTCCCTTAAATGTCACCTAGTGCCTTTCTTTCATATTTAAAACACGATTTCTAAACAGTTTAGTTACTTTTTATGTGAATGACACAAGAAGCAACAAAGTGAGATTCTGTTTATGCCAAAGTCTAGTCCCTGGTTTGTCTTCACAGTAGTTAGTAACAGCAGAAGTAATATTAGTACTTGTAGTAGTAGTAGTAGTAGTAGTAGTAGTAGCAGCAGTACTAACAGCACTAATAGAGGTAGTACTAACAGTAGTACTCACCAGGGGAAGTAGTTGATCCGGACGCGGTTCTTGTAGACCAGAATGCCTCCTGACTGGACCCCGAGCAGGATCTCTGTCTGGCTCTGGTCTCGAGCCCAGTGCAGCTCCACCCCATAAAGATCCAGAGTCCGAGCTGTGTTTAGGTACTGGAACTCAGCCTGCGCCGGGGTCAGACCGCTGTGGGCAGACAGAACCAGGACTGAACCAGGACTGAACCAGGACTGAACCAGGACTGAACCAGGACTGAACCAGGACTGAACCAGACTGAACCAGACTGAACCAAGACTGAACCAAGACTGAACCAAGACTGAACCAAGACTGAACCAGGACTGAACCAGGACTAATTATGGAATGTACCTGTGCTGTAGTAGCAGTAGTATTACTATTCATAGTATTTGTAGTACCTGTGCTGCTGATGGTGCTTGTAGTATTAGTAGCAGTAGTATTAGTATTTGTAGTATTTGTAGTACCTGTGCTACTGGTGGTGCTTGCAGTAGTAGTAGTAGCAGTAGTATTTGTAGTATTTGTAGTACCTGTGCTGCTGCTGGTGCTTGTAGTAGTAGTAGTAGTAGTAGTATTTGTTGTACCTGTGCTGTTGGTGGTGCTTGTAGTAGTAGTAGTAGTATTTGTTGTACCTGTGCTGTTGGTGGTGCTTGTAGTAGTAGTAGTATTTGTAGTATTTGTTGTACCTGTGCTGTTGGTGGTGCTTGTAGTAGTAGTAGTATTTGTAGTATTTGTTGTACCTGTGCTGCTGCTGGTGCTTTTAGTAGTAGTAGTAGTAGTAGTATTTGTTGTACCTGTGCTGTTGGTGGTGCTTGTAGTAGTAGTAGTAGTATTTGTTGTACCTGTGCTGTTGGTGGTGCTTGTAGTAGTAGTAGTAGTAGTAGTAGTAGTAGTAGTAGTAGTAGTAGTAGTAGTAGTAGTAGTAGTATTGTTGTACCTGTGCTGCTGGTGGTGCTTGTAGTAGTAGTAGTAGTATTTGTTGTACCTGTGCTGCTGGTGGTGCTTGTAGTAGTAGTAGTAGTATTTGTTGTACCTGTGCTGCTGGTGGTGCTTGTAGTAGTAGTAGTAGTAGTAGTAGTAGTAGTATTTGTTGTACCTGTGCTGCTGGTGGTGCTTGCAGACCTCACGGTGGAAGTCTTGAGGGGGATTGGGGATGAAGCTGAAGTCTGAGAGGTACTCCCCGATCGGGTGCTCCTGCTCACTGTAGTCCCCCAGTTCAGCTAACAACAAAAACACACGTACGCGTCGGTCAGAGCCAAACACACAGACTCTAAACCCTCAAGCCTCAAATAAATCTGCGTGGAAATCTGGAGGTCAACATCAAGGTCAATATCTACAGCCATTATTACCGTATTTTCCACACTATAGGGCGCTCTGGATTATAAGGAGCACTGTCATTAAATGGTCTATTTTTGAACTTTTTTCACATATAAACCACACCGCACTATAAGGCGCATTAAACCAAACACAACAGTTAGATAAGTCAGTCAAACTTTATTTAACGTTTTCACAATAACTCAACTTTGATCAATTGCAACGCTTAAAAAAAAATACTGTGTGAGACCGCTAAATTGTTAGAATATTCACAGTAACTCATAATTGTCCTTGGCTCCCTCTTGGCGGCCGAGAGCTTTATGCACGCTGCTCTGTTGGCACGAGAGGGGCCGCATACGCCTGACCTCCCTGCAGGTAAGAGCGCGGTGGACATGCCAGGTTAACGAGTGCGTAAAAGTCTGCATCTTTACGTGCACGTACGAGGAGAATGAGCTCTGCAGCCGCCTCTTTATAAACTTTTATGAGTTTATAAGAGACCCACACATTTCTGGGTCCCTGTGTAAGCCGCTCTGTCCTCCATGACCAGGTAAAATTCCAATCCTTTAGCAATTATTCATGAAAATATCCAAATTCCTAAATCATTGATCCTTTTAGTGTCGCTGTCTGACTACGCTTCACTCTCGCAACGCGCTGAGCTTCACAGCGTGTTCTCGTGCGCCCTGGTCTTTAGCAACAGGTAATGAATGTCTCCTGCTCCTGTCCATTCACAAAAATGTCCAAATTGTCACACAATCCAGTTTTTTGTAGTTTCTCTGCTTGGCCGTATCATTGCGCCTTGAGCCAAGCGCGTGTCACTGCCCCATAACCTCTTCATTGATAACTCGCACTAACACTCGAATAAATTCATATAAGGTGCTCTGGATTATAAGGCGCGCAATCGTTTTTGGATGACATCAAAGGCTTTTAAGCGTGCCCTATAGTGCGGAAATACGGTATTTTACAGAAAAGGCCCTTGAGAAATATCACCTACATTCATTATAGAGACTTAAAGTGTTGAAAATGTATGATACTGTTGATTTAAGTCTCCTCAAAGTCCAGTATAAAGCAAAGTGTAATGTATCACCTGTAAATATTCAAAGACTTTTTGAGATGAGAACAAGCCACTACAATTTAAAAAGAACCTACATGTTTAAAAAACCCAGATTCAGAACCAAGGTTATGGAGCAAAGCGTCGCTGTGAAAGGAGTTCATTTATGGAAAAGTCTTGACAAAGAAATCAAAGAATCAAGATCAGTGATGGCATTTTAAAAAAAACACATCAAATCCAGTGCAATGTGTATGTATGAAAAGTTGTTGTGCATAATAGCGAAGATTTCTGTTTGCAATTGATTAATTATTGATTAATTATATACTAATTCATTGCGACTGAACTGAAATGTACTGATTTGAAATGTTTAATTGACTATGGGTGTTGATGTTTTGTCTGGAAAAGGGAGAGGGGCACATAGCATAAGATGACTCTTCTTTCTGATCCTTTTTTCACTTCTTGTATGTTTGAGGTTGTGACACTGTTAATGTCTTTTTATGCTTTATGAATTAAATAAAAAAATAAAAAATAAATAAAAAATACAGGACAGTACAGGATCACTCCAAATAACCCTCTTGGCATATTGATGATATGATGAGGGGAATACCGTTTAAACATTTAAAGGGAGAAATATTCTGTCAAATCATAATCTAGGAGCTTTTAAAGGCTCCATATTATGCTGTTTTCTGATGTCATAATGTCGTTTCCTCATCACAAACAGACCTGGACTTGTGTCGTTTCATTCACACATGTTGAACACACAAACCCTGCATTTTTAGGCTGAGTTCTGGAGCTGTTAACTTGAAAACCTCTGCTTCGTGACATCACAAGGTGGAACAGCGCATTTTGGAGATGTAGACAGGCTAATAATAAAGGTTTACTCAAACATGTGTGAATGAAACAAAACAACTCCAGGTGTGTTTTTGAGGAGGGAACAACATTTGAACACCAATTAAATCTGACAGGAGTCAGTTTTGTGCGATATAGGACCTTTGATCATATTCTAACTCACATTGAACAGCGTAGGAGGCCAGCAGAGCAGCCGTATTGTGTGGACAGGGCAGACTGAAACAAAACATATATATTAAAACACAATGACATTATTAAAACTCTTCATATTATTGATAATAAATGTGTTAATAGAAACCAACCGTCCAGTGAGGATGTCCTGCTTTATCTGAAGGAAGTACTGGTACCTGAAAAACAAGGACAAATAAACTATTAGAAATGAACTTTTATTATCAGCAACATTCAACTTAAGTGGAGACATTTCATCCTGTTCTGTTTATGAAGCACAAGTGTCACACTCAAGTCATTCCCCCAGGAACATGACATATTACAAACGGTCCCCTTCACAGAGAGGATACTACCAACAGAATAATTAAAGCTGCACATTTTACAGGGTACATATTGTGGAAAATGGGAAATGTAGATAATAATGACTTACTCAAACATCTTTTTTTTTTAAGAGGCGGTAACAGCATTAGAACATGACCTAAAGCTCACAAAAGTAAATTCTGCATAATACAGGACCATTTTCACACCTCTAGTTCTAATTTACTTTTTGGTACAATAACAAAAATGTGCATGCCTTCATTCAAATCAGACTACATGAAGGTATAAACAGACAGAACAGAGACTAAAATAAGACTGGAACAAATAAAGAGAATCATGAAGTAAAGCTGCCTTTTGTGCATTTTACCAGCAAACAGCAGTACATTTCTGTAAATTGGAGAACTTTGTATTGTCATTTTAGATGGTTATTTTCTTGAAATATCAATGTGTTTGTGATTTATTGTGCAGCTCTAATAATAACACACATATTCATCTTGCAGTTTGTCTGATCACTTAGGCCAAACTCTCTAAGCCAGTATACTCTTATTAGGGATGCACTGGTCTAATACTGGAATCAGATATTACTGCTGATACTGAAAAATCAGCTGGATCAGATATCGGTTTACAAATATTGGTTCAGTTATCCTGGTCAGACATGTAAACTGATATAATAAGAAAGTCTCAGTTTGAACTTTTATTTACACAAAGCTGATCTGCGGTTACTTAAGAGCTCCATCACACATGTGGTTGGATCTTATATTTATTTTAAGGAAATAAAAGCTGTTTTCAGTCTGGTATCGGTTGATATCAGGGGATAGGCAGGTACTTGAGGCTATAGTATCCAAGTTGGATTGCTGCATCCCTGATTAGTTCTAGTTATGAGATGTAAACTTCTAATACTTTACCTCGTGTACTCCTCCTGCAGTTTGCTCGGATCACTCACAAAGAACTTGACTCTGAAGCTGAGGCTGTGAGGGGAACCTCCTGACACACAACAGAACAACGAGAACAGATTTCAAACAAATGTATTAAAACATCTGCACAGATGTGTCCAAGTACTAAGCCTGTAGTTGGCTAAAAAGAGGGCGTGGCAAAAGCTCTGAAAACTCTTCTGTATGAGTATGACACAAACTGCACTCACAAGACTCCACCTGCAGGGGGAGCTCAAGCTAAAAAATACTATTCATACAGAAACCATGGATTTATATAAAGATAGACTTGACTTGTGTGACTTTTTACAGAGAAATACCAGAAAATACCCCCAAAGTGTGTGTGTGTGTGTGTGTGTGTGTGTGCGTGTGTGTGTGTGTGCGCGTGTGTGTGTGCGCGACTCACTCTTGAGCTGCTTCCTGATTGGTTTGTTTGGGTCGAGCCATCGCTGGAACAGAGACAACATGAACTTACATTAAAGAGGGACTCTTTTACTTGTAAGGTACATTAACTGCTAAAACATAACATTTAGATCACCATGTTCCCTTTTGTTGTTTTGAAAATGCTGTATTCACCCAAAACAACTATTAACATATTTTTCACTTTCGCTTGTTTTCACATCACATTTTCACTTTAATATTTATTATTAGGATTTAGAATGAAATTGGAAATTATAAAATTGTCCTTAAACATTTCAGAAAAAAGACACCACCTAGAAATATTCCTGTCAGCAGTACTAAACCAGGTCTAAACCAAAGTTTAAACCAAAGATTTGAACCAGGACTAGAGTAGTTCTAAAAAAGGACTAACCCAAGACTGACTAATTGAATAATTCTGATGTGTGAAATGTTTTTATTTGAAAGGTGTAAAGTTGTAGTGAAATGATTCCATTTAATCATGCATATATTCATGATGTGCATATTTAGTGAGATATTTAACAGGGTTACCGGGGCGTCGGACGACTCGTCACTCAGGTGCAGTCCAAAGTAGTCCCTCTCTGTCAGTTCCAGATGTTTAAACACCAGGTCCAACAGCACCTGCCCAGGGTCCGCTTTCTGCACACACACAAAACCGTAAGATGCCCTCCCAGGCTACCACAAAGAGTCAGATCTGGTTAGGGTCCTGGTCAGGTTTTGGTTTTACTTATTCTTTACTTTTTCTTGTTTTTGAAGTCCCAAGTTTGAGCTTCAGATATTCATGTTTCAAGAACACATTCTCAAGTGTAATATAGTCCTGGGCATTGTACAGCTCCTGGACCATTTAAGCCAATTTGGAATTACAAAGTAAATGTATTTTATAATTTGACCTCATGCATGGACTAAAGCTGCATGGCTTTTATTTTAGAGATGTTTTTTAAAATGACTTTTTGTTCAGCAGTCTCACTTTTTCATTACGTCATCATAACAAACTCTTCCCAGTCTGATCAGCTCGTCAAACAATGCCAAACATTTAATGCTTTTTTATAAAGAAATACAATTACTATTGTGCAGAATTGAGTTAAACATTTAGGCTCCACAATATTTTCTGTTTCTGTTTATTACAAATAATATAAACAAAAATGTCTCACTCTCACCCAAGTCCCCAACATGAATACTGACCCTCAAAAATACTGTTCCATCTGTTATGTATTGAACAATAAGTGAATATAGTCATTATATATAGCTTTTTGCAAGATATATGATTTGTAATAGTGAGGCACTGATCCCACACTGGTACTGCATATCGGTGCACATAGAGAAAAAAATAGTTGGATCGGATATCGGCTTTGTAATATCAGTTCAACCAGTTAACCAGTCACCCAGAAAGTCTCAGAATGTTTGAACTTTTTAAGTTGCTCTGTGTTACTTGTGGGATAAATAACAGCTAAATTACACATGTGGATCAGTTAGGTTTAGTTTTGTTTTGACTTTATTTTGGTTTAAAAAAAATAAATGCTGTAAGTATCTGCCAATATAAACCAATAGCAGTGTGTGGTATTGAAATCATCAAATATCAAAACTAAAAAAGCTGGATCGGTGCATCACAAAACCGAAGAGGAGATGGGCTTGTTCCAGTTTGGTCCTGTAAAGTTACACACGGACCTCCTCTTGGCTCTAGTCGTGTCAAAGGGAAATATTTTCCTCCTCCTCTTTCATTCATTTCCTCTTACCCTCTTTTCTCTCATCCACCCTTCTCTCTCTCTCTCTCTCTCTCTCCGTCTCTCTCTCTCTCTCTCTCCGTCTCTCTCTCTCTCTCTCTCTCTGCTCTGTCCATCTTTCAGTTTTGCCTTGCCCTCTCCCCGCTCTCTCCTCTTCGTCCCTTTCTCGCTCGCCCCCGCTGCATGCTTGTGTAGTTTCCATGGAGACCCTCCCTCAGTCACATGACCCTGAACAAAGGCATCACGTGACCTCCCTTTGTGCAGGGGTCAGAGGTCGCGTGTCAGAACGAGGGTTCAATTCCAGAATCCCTCACATACAAGAGACTGGCCCCTTTTTAGATGCTTTTACATTTCACAAACAGACCACAGGTTACACGTCTCTTTTCTCTAAAACACGATTACAGCCACAACGATTAGTCCCAAGAATCGTGAGCAGGGCCGTCAAAAGTATGGAAAACCAGATATGAAAACTAGTATGGAAACTAAATCTTCTAAAAAAAAGTCCCACTGACAGGACAGAGCAGAGCCTTTCCTGAATGTGTTTAGAATGATGTCGAGGTGTATGAGAACAAGTAGAAGACACATAGACTAGTACAAACACATGGACCAACATGAACCTACTGCACCACTGAGGATTACACACAGATAACACACATGGAAGAAAATACCGTATTTTTCGGGCTATTAGGTGCTCTGGATGATAAAACGCACTGTCATTAAATGGTCTATTTTCTAACTTTTTTTCACAAATAAACCGAACTGGACTTTAAAGGAAACCCAACAGTGTGATGGGTGAGTGGTTTTGTTTGTTTGTGGCGTTCACGGTGACTCTGGGCTTTGTTCAGTTGTGGCGTGTAGGGAGGGGGCTGTCTGGACCAACGGATTGTCGGCGTGTTCGCAGTGACTCAGTTGTTCAGTCGTGTCTAGAAGTGGCACATTGCACTCGCTTTTTCAGTTCGTTCCTCCGTTCCGTTCCTTGTCGGTGTGGAGTGATGAGTGTGTCTGTGGGTGTTTTTCTCTGTGCGGTCGCTGTCTGCTCCATGTGTGTTTGTGTGTTCTGTGGGTGTTGCGGCTTTGTAGTTTACTGAAGTGGTGCTGGGACACCTGAGTGGATTCATGTATAGGGCGCTCTGGATTGTGGGGCGTGGGCATGCAGTCGTTGTTTGATGGGGTTGGAGGCTTAAGAGTGCGCCTAATAGTGCGGGAAATACGGTACTACCATTTAATGTTGAAAATCACATTCCATGGTCTACAGAAAGAGTGCTGGAATCTATATTGATACGTATTGAAACTTTCTCTGGGGTGTGAAGCTAACTGTAGGCACTGCTCTGTCTGAAACTCTCGTTACTCAAATTAGATTTTAATCTGAGCTTTGTTTTAACCCAATGTGACCAGAAAGAGCTGACCTAGTTGGAACTACAACACATGGGCTGATTTGTCCTCTTAAACATGTCCGTTTCAAATAACATTACAGTCAGAAGCTCTCCTCCCCACTGCTCAGAACATCTCCCTCTTCATCGATGGCCACGTCATTACCCCCTCTCCCTCAGTACGCCACCTTGGCATCATCGAGGACCCTACCTTTTCATTCAGAGCCCATATTAGTCACATGACTAAAACATAATGATGGGCAAATGAGTCGGAGCTGCGGAGCACGTCTCGTTCTTTCTGAAACAAATCACTCTGAAGCACTGCCTCAGAGCTCGTCTCGCAGCAGCCGCTCACATGACCACAGTGTGAAAGTGTCGGTCCCTCTCCCTACTGCTTCTCTCTGCGTGTCAATCGCTTCAGTGTATCGAAGCGTTTCATTGGCTCGGCGAATGTTCCACTCTGCGATTGGTTCAGAGTGCTTCAGAGTGCTTCAGAGTGTTCAGTGCACTTCCGTGGTTTGACGAGCGCTGAACTGCTACAGTATATAAAAGATGCACCAATATTTGTTAAAAATGTTGGGTAGTGAGGAGTATTGTGTTGTTGTTGTTGTTGTTGTGTACGCTCTGCACACAACTATTGTCTTACACTAACAACATTTCATCGATACTGAGAAACCTGCGTGCCAATGGTTAAATTTGTCCACTAGAGGTCAGTGTTTCTCCGAGGCCTCAGACACGTCGAACCATTTGAGACAATATTGCGACTGAGGTGTCAACGCTTCACGATCTCTCCTCCAGACTCGACTACTGCAACAGCCTCCTGTACACTCTCCCCTCCACAAACCCCCAAAAACTGAAATACATTCAACACTCTGCCGCTCGCCTCCTCACCCACACCCGCTCCAGAGACCACATCACCCCTTTCCTCAGGCAACTCCACTGGCTCCTTGTACAATACCAGGTTCTCCTCATCACCTACAAGTCCCTCCATAACCTTGCCCCTCCCCTTTTCCCTGACCTCCTCCGTCTGCACTGTCCCACCCGCCTCCTCAGATCAGCCGACACCAACCTCCGCGGGCCTTCGCCGCCGCCGCCCCCGCCCCCTCCCTCTGGAACTCACTCCCACAATCCATCAGGATCTCGGACTCACTGCAGCACTTCAAATCACACCTAAAAACTCACCTGTTCAAACCCGTTTTCTACAGTGTTACTTTAATTTGTTTGTAAAGCGTCTTTGAGTGTCCAAAAAAGCGCTATATAAGTACGATGTATTATAATTATTATTATTATTATTATTATTAGCTAGCATTTTTATTTTTTTTTTCAGTTTTTTTTTTCAGTGAGTCCCCGTCACCTTTTTGTTGAAAAACTCTAAGCAGGTCCATGAACGCTCACACTGATCACAGACTCTTCAAAATGTCCTCTATAAATCCAGACACTCTGAAAACTTGTCTTGTTTGCTAATGTGTGCATTGTGTCTCCATGGTAACTACTCAACATTCCACCGTAGAGAAACATGTAGAACACCCCAGCATGAAATCACCACAATGTATCAATTAAGTATAAAGTATATTCCCTTTTAGCACTGAATAATTGTCTACATTGTCTATTATTTGGACTACACAGACTCTGACTCATTCTGAGGGCCGGGGCTTAAAGCAGGTTGAGGGTTTGATTGCTCTGAGGACAGTGAAAAACAGGAAGTGATGTCACATGCCGGAAATCCCCAAACAAGCAAAACAAAACCTCAACAAATGTGCAGAGGAAGTGAGAGGACTGAAGCAGAGAGAAACGAATCAGGCAGCACCAGAGACCAGAGACCAGAGACCAGAGACCAGAGACCAGAGACCAGAGACCAGAGACCAGAGACCACTGTCACAAACATCTGAACTGCACTCTCTTATTTTGCATGTATTTATTTAACCAGTGTATATCCTTTATTAAGAGAGTCCTGGAGGTGTAGAGTCAGGACCATGTGAGAGCAGCCTGCAGTAGTAGTAGCAGCGGTAGTAGTAGCAGTAGTAGCAGTAGTAGTGGAAGAGGTGGGCGATATCTCGATATTTTTAATATATAGAGATTTTTTAAAACTCGATATGAATTTTGACATATCGTATAAATCGATATAATGCTTATATTAAATTTTGATTTCGCTGCTTTGCTTGTTTGTCTTCTCTGTCACCGCCCGCGCGCCCCCGCCTCCCTGATTTTGTTCGCTCCTGTCTCCTTCACTCCTCACTATCGCTGTGATCGCCGAAAGCTGCTGCCAGTGAAAAGCATTTACAGACAAGGCCATCAGCAGCACATCCTCATATTCCACCAGTCAAGTCCTTTAGTCCAAAAGAAGTTGAACCGCAAGAGCGGCACGTGGAGTGCGCCGTTTATGCAAATTAGCCATGCGCTTTTTAAGTTTCATTTTTGTAAAACGTAAACAAGTCTGCCCAAAGCTGCAAAAAATAAATAAATAATAAATAACATAAAATAAAATAATTAACACTATAATCTCAAACGGGCTGATGTGGCTCTTGAGTCGTTATGCTATATATCTTGTAAAGTTTAGTAATGTAAATTTTATTTATGCAGAAGATTTTAATTAATAATCTGTTGCAGTGTCACTTGTACAAAAGTGTTTGGAGTGGATTGTGGGAAACCTCACAGCTCCTTACTGCTGGAACATGGATCTGTTAAAATAAGGAACATCCTGAGCTTCTTCTGTTAAAACAGTTCATGGTTATGATTATGGTCTGGATAACAGAGTTAATGCAAAGCTGAGCTTGAGCTGAGTTGTTTTATTTATGAATGAAACAAAGGAAATATGTTTTATTTCTTTTATTTTACAGTGAAATTATTATTTATGTAATTAGGGTTTTTTGTAATCTTAAATGTTCCTATATGAACTGCCGACCTCTTACACTTAAATTTTTTAAAAAAGGACCTTGTAGAATTTGGCATATTTGTTTTTGCAGTTTTCCATTTTAGGGGGTTATTTTTTCCTGTACAGATATCGAGATATATATCGTATATCGAGATATAGCAAAATATATCGAGATATATTTTTTGATCCATATCGCCCAGCCCTAAGTAGTAGTAGCCGCCGTAGTATTTGCAGTATCAGTAGTACTCACGTTGACTTTGAAGGCGTGCACAGAGTTGTCCAGTAGCAGCACGTTGCACACGGCCTGGGCGTGGCTCCTCTCTCTCTCCAGCTCGCTTGCTCGCACATTGTAGGATTTGGCCGAAGGTAAACGAAAGCGCGCGCTCATCACGCTCTCGCCCACGTCTGAAACATACAGACAAATATATATGTCAACCATCATACCAATGAAATATCCAACACACAGGTAAAGGAAAGCGCGCCCATCACGCTCGCGCCCATCACGCTCGCGCCCATCACGCTCGCACGCAATATGCACATATGAACATACAAATGTATCATTTCCATGTGAAATGTTGAAGCATAAGAGCAGCTGTGCACAGAGCTGCAAACTCCTGTCCTTCTCTCAGTGAGCTTCATGATGAAGTCTCCTGAAATGACTTCCACTTCAGAGCAGTGCCACATCAGGGGCAAGAAATGACAAAAGTCCAAAGCAGTGATCAAAGCAAAGGGTAAAAGCCCATTTTTAAAAACTAAATTAAGTTATTTTGAGTGTATTTTGTCTTTGCTACATTGCACACGTGTCATTTATAGTTTCAATGCCTTCAATGAGAATTGACAGTGTAAACTAGAAAAGCACTCAGAGAGCGCAGACCTCCGCCAAGGACTACCCCCATTTTTTATATAAATTGCGATAAAATCAGTCTTCTGGATCAGATCTGGATCAGCCTTTGGAATATGAAAGAGGATCCCATTGTCCATCCCTGAGTCAAATTTCATGGGGTTTGGTCAATAATTAACCGAGATATTGAGAAACAAAATTTTTGGCCTCATTTACCACAATGTTAACTAAAATTTCAAAGTGATCCAGAACCCAGGATTTCTTCCGGATCACCCCCAAAATGAAATCAGTTCTTCTTTTTCACATTTCCAACAAATCCTGAAAATTTCATCAAAATCGGTCCATAACTTTTTGAGTTATGTTGCTAACAGACAAACAAACAAACAAACAAACAAACAAACAGACAAACAGACAAACGCCGGCAAAAACATAACCTCCTTGGCGGAGGTAATAATCATGGAAATAAAGAAACAAAGTGTGTGTAGTTTCACTAGTCGTGTGGTTAGACAGGTAAAGGAAAGTACACGGCATCATGGTTTATGCCCACGTCTGAAACACACACACGATTATAAAGGTCACACACACAAATGGATCAACCATCATAAACACGAGGTCTGACACCATGACACATGTGTACAGCTGAAGAAAATATACCCCATAAACTGCCTACAGCAGGATGACTGTGTGTACAGGACTGTTAAAGGGCCCGTATCACACAAGCTTTCTCATCACAAACAGACCTGGAGTTGTGTGTTGTTTCATTACCTCCGCCAAGGAGGTTATGTTTTTGCCGGCGTTTGTTTGTTTGTTTGTCTGTTTGTTTGTTTGTTTGTCTGTTAGCAACATAACTCAAAAAGTTATGGACGGATTTTGATGAAATTTTCAGGATTTGTTGGAAATGTGAAAAGGAAGAACTGATTTTGGGGGTGATCCGGAAGAAATCCTGGATCACTTTGAAATTTTAGTTAACATTGTGGTAAATGGGGCCAAAAATTTTGTTTCTCAATATCTTGGTTAATTATTGACCAAACCCCATGAAATTTGACTCAGGGATGGACAATGGGATCCTCTTTCATATTCCAAAGGCTGATCCGGATCTGATCCAGAAGACTGATTTTATCGCAATTTATATAAAAAATGGGGGTAGTCCTTGGCGGAGGTCTGCGCTCTCTGAGTGCTTTTCTAGTTCACACATGTTTAACACACAAACCTGCACATTTAGGCTGAGCTTTCGTCACAGACAGAAAACACTCTGTCCCACCTTGTGATGTCTAATACAAGTTTTATTCGACTAAGACTTCATAGACCAATTAAATCCACTAAATTACTTAATGAGCAAAAGAACACAGGCCTACATCTGAAAACACAACTCTATCTGCGCTTATGCTTCCATACGTCTGCAACATATGAACAAATACATATTTATACAGGATTTGTTTTTTTCTGATCTTGAGAGAGAGAGCGACGGAGAGAGAGAGAGAGAGAGAGAGAGAGAGAGAGACAATGAGAGTGAAGAGAGGAGGGGTGAGAAAAAGGGGAAGAGGGAATGGAGAGAAGAGGGGAGACAGAGAAGAGTTAAGGGGAGGGGGGCTGGGGGGTGAGGGAGGTGTGATAATGACAGAGAAGAGCCTGGTGCAGGTCTGAGCCTGAACTCAAAGAATGTCTCAATGGCCCCGCTTTCTCTCCTGTCTTCTCTCTTCATCTCCCTCCTCCTGAGTCTCCCCCCCCCCCCCCCCAAACTCCATCTCCCTGTGTCTCTCCCCGTCTCCCTCCTTCCCATACCGTCCCTCTCTCCCCCAGAGAAGGTTCCGGATGCTCTGTTCTTTATGACTTCCTCCTCTGGGTCTTTAACACGACTCACACGATACGACTTCACGTGACAAACACATACAAACATTTGGATTATATATTTAGAGTCTGAATCTGACCTATTCTGCAAACTGGACTTTTCAGAGTTTTTCTTCTCACTGACCCTGTGAAGTTGGATTTGGAGTGATTTGTGTTTCATGTTTGAGTCATTTTTATTCTCCTGGATTCAGAACGTCACTGCTCCGATCTGCCCCCGTTTCCAGCTCCACCGGTACACGCCGGCTGCATAGGCCGTATAAAGACATGGACCAAGGCAGTGTGATGTTACCCACAGCGTTCAGCTCCACACACATGAAGCTTGAGGTGCTGGCGGTTACAGGAGTGAATTTGGAGCCAGTTTCATATTAGGAATAGATTATCGAACAAAATGGCAACACAACAACCCCAGGATCACTTGGAGTGCATTAAAGGGACAGTCCAGAATTTTGGACATAGGACCTCATTTCCTCATTTCCTCGTGAGCCAGAGTGTTAGAGACGTGTGGAGACACTTTTTGAAATATTCCATCCAGTCCTTGTTTTTGCAGAGGTCACTGGTGTTAGACTAGTGCATGTCAATGGTCATAGTTCTCCTGCCACTAAAAACAGTCTTACCTGCTCCACAAAACACCTGAAACAAATCTATTATTACACCAGACTGTCCATGTGAATGTCTGTGTTGATAGAATAATGTCTGATATAAAACCAATCTTGCATTTGAAGGATTTCTGTGTGAGCAGCAGCAGTGAGTTGTACTTCCTGAGAGAAAGCTCGGCAGCAGCGGACTGATATATGAGAAAAAAGTTCCTCAACATGTGACGATTTATGCGATGTAAGGTTAGTTTTATTTCAAACATGATTCTATCAACACAGACATTCACATGGACAGTCTGGTGTAATAATAGATTTGTTTCAGGTGTTTTGTGGAGTGGGTAAGACTGTTTTTAGTGGCAGGAGAACTATGACCATTGACGTGCACTAGTCTAGCACCAGTGACCTCTGCAAATACAAGGACTGGATGGAATATTTCAAAAAGTGTCTCCACACGTCTCCAACACTCTGGCTCACTAGGAAATGAGGTCCTCTGTCCAAAATTCTGGACTGTCCCTTTAATACGAACACCAAAATGACGAGGCTCTCAGCGGCAGTCACAGAGAGAGGGGCGACAATTTTCCAAGTCAATGGGAGCCAGAGTCAGAAGGAGCCGGAAGCGCCCCCATGCTCACTTCCTACTTGGCTAGGGCACTAACTTTGTCCATTTACAGCCTATGGCTCACTGTGACCCACGCACTTCCTCCTGCAGTTTTATTTTCTTCAACTGTGATACATGTAGGATCATTTTGGTACAAATGAAAATAAAATGCTCTGCTCTGGCGTGATGTGCAGTTATCCAGAGGAGTGGACCACAACATGCGACACTTCGTTGTCATGAAATTTACCCCAACGTCAGCTCCCACTGGTCCCACAGTTTTCTAACACATAAGTCAGAGCACTTGTTTAGATCAAAGACATGTAACAACTTCATTCTAAAACTATATGGATTTTATGGAATACATGTTATGCATGATTAAGATGAATTTTGGAGGATGAAATGTTATTTAGAAAGTCATTTAATGTATTGATGCTGAAAATGGGAACCACATCAAGTACCCAGTAGCAACAGTAGTAGTAGTATCAGAATTTGAAGTAGTATGAGTAGTAGTAGTAGTAATGTAGTTACACTCTTCCTTTTGTGGAGTCATGTGACCAGAACAAAGCAAAGTTCAAAACTGGTTCAAATTAAAACATTTTTGAAAAGAGCACAAACAATTTTAAAATAAATTGTGTCTTCTGAGGAGAAACAGAGAGAGTAGCTCAATGTCAATGAACGAGAACAGACATCCATTCATCTGTACACACCTGCTGCAGAGAGAGACGGGTGGGAAGGAGAGGGAGAGAGAGGGGGTGGACAAAAGAAGGAGAGAGAGGGAGAGGGGGAGAGGAAAGGAGAGAGAGAGAGAGAAGAAGAGAGAGAGAGAGAGGGGAGACATGAGAGAAGGAAGTGAGAAGAGATATTTGATTTTAAGGACTGTAGCCAGTCTGCCCCAAACCACAATCAGACGACTGGCTGTAGAGCTCTCTCGTCCTGACAGACGATTGGCTGTAGAGCTCTCTCGTCCTGACAGACGACTGGCTGTAGAGCTCTCTCGTCCTGACAGACGATTGGCTGTAGAGCTCTCTCGTCCTGACAGACGACTGGCTGTAGAGCTCTCTCGTCCTGACAGACGATTGGCTGTAGAGCTCTCTCGTCCTGACAGACGACTGGCTGTAGAGCTCTCTCGTCCTGACAGACGATTGGCTGTAGAGCTCTCTCGTCCTGACAGACGACTGGCTGTAGAGCTCTCTCGTCCTGACAGACGATTGGCTGTAGAGCTCTCTCGTCCTGACAGACAATTGGGTGCATTAAAAAGACCCAAACTGCCACTGACCAATAGACACAACTCATCTGGATTTAAATGAGATTTGTTGCCCTGTTGCATTTTATGAGCTCAATAAGCCACTTAACATGTCACATACAGACATCCCTGGTTCAGCCCAATTCAGTCCTTCTCACTGACCCGGACGTGCGTCATCGTCAGCCAAGACAAGGACAATCCAAATAATCAGTGAAGTTAGGAAGGAGTAAGGAAAGGAAACATTGTGCAAGTCTACAACATATAAACCAGAATGACTCTAGAGCCACATCAACCCGTCTGAGATTATAATGTGTTTAATGCAGCTTTGCGCACATTTGTTTACGTTTTACAGGGGGGCAGGGGGGCATACGTGTGCGGGGCATACGTGTGCGGGGCATACGTGTGCGGGGCATACGTGTGCGGGGCATACGTGTGCGGGGCATACGTGTGCGGGGCATACGTGTGCTGTGCGCGAGGCGTACGTGCTTCTCTTCATTGCTCCTTACTCCTTCTTGGTCAATCTCATGATGTAACTCTCAGAGGTTAAGGGAGAATGAAGAAAGAGGAAGGAGAAGAAAGGGGGAATTTTTGCTCCATTTCTGATTGGGTGTGACTACTGATATCAGCGCTGATACAGAAAAGTTTGGTTGATCGAATATCAGTTCCAAGATATCGTTTCAGCTGATGTCCCACTTAGGTCTATAAATTAGTGTAATAAGATAATTTACTGCCAATGTTGGTCCACAACGTATCATAACATTAAACGTGTTTTTACAAAGCTCTTCTGCTGTTTATTAAAAAAGGACAAAAAACTCAATCTCTGCTCTAGTATCGACTGATATCGGGTATCGCAGATCCATAAAGTCAAGTATCAACAGTGTTACTGAAACAGAAAAGGCTGGACTGGTGCATCCCTCGTCCAGTCCCCGGTTCAGTCCTGGATCCTCCAGCAACAGATGAACTGTGTTGAACTTTGACCTCTGTATTCAGGGTTCTCAGCTGTTCCACTGACACATGCTAACACAACATGCTAGCATCTCTCTTACATTAGTGCTTCAGTCTGTGATTTCTTCTTCCCTTTGTGGTTTTCGACGTGAGGCTGGAGCAGATCTGAGTTCAGACCACAGACTGTAGAAAGTACATACAGAGACTACGGCTCAGACCAGGACTGAGGAAGTGTGCCTTTAGTTTTATGAGACGCCTCAGCCTAAAACATCTACATCTTTAAGGCTCCTGCAGGTGAGGGAGTCCAGACCAGAATCCCAGCTCAGACCTGGATCCTGACCTTACACTGTGCTACCTTTATACAGCTAACGTACTAGCCGCTGCGCTCCAAACAAGCATGGCCCCTCTCTGTAACTGCTGCTGTCAGACTCCTCATTTTGGTCTTAAAATGTTGCTCTACATGATCCCGGGGTTTTTATTTCACTATTTCGTCCAATCAGGCACCTTTTTTTCGAGGTCACTCCAACTAGCGTTAGCAACAGGTTTGATTGACAGTTTTGCTAAGTGCCCACTCCCTGCTATACCTGTGGACAGGAAGGGGTGTGACCTTCAACAGCCTCACTCCTGATTGGCTCTTTGGTTGCTATGATACACAGTTGGAATTCCAAATACGGAACTGGGTTCCAGATTAGCCGTTATAACTGCTAACCTCGACTAGCTTCATTTTGAGCCAAATGTTGTGGGTGACATCACACTCACTTAGTCCACGTCTCTAAAGTGTCCATGTTCTGAACGAGGATCCCGGTTCAGGCCTGGTTCTTTTAGTCTCTTCAGAGGAATGTGACACGTCTGAACAGGTTTAAGCTTCACTCTGAGCCACACAGCAGCACAGGGGCTCATACTTCTACAGTACTACTACTGCTATAGACTGTGTACTAGTGCTACTGTTATTACACTGAGTATTAATACCACAACACTGTGGTAGTCCCAGGACATACTGATGGTTCTGTAGTAGCTGTTCCCTCACACCCGTTCAGAAGAACCCAAACATGCATTCTGACAGTGAGCTCGTCTCCACAGACCTGACCTGGTACATGGCCTGGTGCCGCACCTGTCTCTATGGAGACAGAGTGATTAAAAATACTTCAACAGTCTGAGAACATTCCTGCACTTTGAGTTCTTACACAGTAACAGTGTACCACAAAGAGGCAAAAAGAGACGCCCCAGGACACGATTAGGCTCCAACACACCCACAGGTACAGCAGTATACGGTACTACCACTACTACAGTAATCCTGAACTACAGAAACACAGGAGTACATAAGAGGAGTACACAGGGCAGTACTGCAGGAGAGTACTACGTGTCCTACATCAATTAGGTCTAAATCCCAAAGGAGCCAAGGAAACGGAGGAATTAAGGTCAAATATGTTTTTGTGGCTTTGCTCACAACTATCATCCTACTGCCACTACTACTGCTACTACTGCTACTACTACTGCCACTACTACTACTGCTGCTGCTACTACATTACTGCTGGTAAACATTTCCCAAAGAAATTAAATAAAACTCAGTCTTTACTTTTCAGATACTTTATATTATTTCATGTTCCACAAATTATAAAATAATTCCATACATGGTAAAATACTTTTTAATATTATTTATGTAATATTAATAATAAGTACTCTTCTGTGCTACCTCTTTGCCATAGCACTGGTGATGTGTCCCTCACACATCAGACTATAGCTAAATCTAACCTTATATTTTGGGCTGGAGTTACTGAAGCTGTAGGAACTAAAATCTCCTTTGAGGATTCATTAAAGGGACATTTTGGACTCTTTTCTGATCTATGTTATAACACTGTTTCCTCATCACACACACAAATGTTTCATTCACAACACACAAACCCTGCATATTTAGGTTCAGTTCTTCTCTCATCCAGAAAACACTTGTGTATTGCCACATGACATTACCATTGTGATGTCATGTGGTAATGCAGGAAGTGCTCCACTGTGTTTTTAAACTTCACACACCTTTAACAGAAGCATTTGGATCATTTTAACCCTGAAATTGCCTAGCTCTACTCAACTTATGAAAGGAGCTGTTAACTCAAAAACTACTACTACATGACATCACATCATGACAAGGTGGCACAGACTAATAATGCAGGATTACAAAGCACAACTCCAGGTCTGTTTGTGAGGAGATAACAGCATTAAAACATGTCCTAAAGCTCACACGAGTCCACGTCGTCTAATATAGGACCTTTAATCACATTGATTCTAAAAGAGCGAATAATAAAAACAGACGGTGTGATTGTCGCTGCACTGCTTCTGCAGAAACATCTCACTAAAGACTCCCTTTAAACTCATGTTAAACTCATTCACGTGCACGACGGTTCCGCGTCACCTGGTCGCGTGTTCCGGAGTGACGCGAACGCGCTGCTGTCACCGAAAATCCGCGAGCGCAGAATCATTACGTCATCCACCAAAGCTCCAGCGCGCGCCTCATCTCCGCCACCGAAACCGGGGCACGCGCACGAGCATCACCGAGTCTCCCCGAGCACCACACCGACCCTGTACCGCTCATCGTACCGCTCATCCCACTGGAGAGGCGGCAGCAGAGCAGCAGAGAACAGAGCGGAATGTGTGCGCAGCCCCGGGCCTGCGCTCTGCCGCTTCTGCCGCTTCCACCGCCTCACGCGCAGAAACAGGCGGTGTGGCGATTATGCGATTTCAGCACGAATCACGTTAAAAGCGGCTTTAATCCGCCTTGGTAGCAATAATAACAGGATCCAGGGTTTAGAGGCGAGATTAGCAGCTGCAGCGCAGAGAAAACGCGAACAAACGTTTAATAATCAAGAAGACGTAGCGGATTTTTGACGCTTGAGTGCAAACAGCTCTCCTAAAACGAAAGCGCAACGCAGTGTTCCACGAAACACATGCAGCAGAACCGGAACGGCTCAGGTCCGTGCAGCCGTGTGTATGAACGCGTGCGGGGGCCACCGGGGTCTGAGCGCTGCGTACACCGCTTTAGCCCCGGTTTGAATGAGCTAACCGCGCTAGCTAACAGGCCGACCACATACCGTCACAAAACACTGTTACAACATTATACACGGGTCTAAAGCCTTATGGACCCACATGCTCCACCAGAACCAGACCAGAACCCAAACAGCAGCGACAGCACGCACTGAAGCCGCGCGCCACGGAGGAGTTCCTCCGCGGAGCCTCGGCTCTGACAGCGGAGCCTCCTGCAGACGTCAGCCGAGGAGAGACGCGGGTCTTACCGTCACAGAGAGCTCCAGGGGCGGCCAGCTTTCACGGTGTGCGCTCAGCGGCGACAGAAACAAAACGCCTAAACATCCACGGAACGATCAGGCCGAAGCTCCGCGGCCACAGAGACATCCATCCAGCGCGGGGCCTCCTCCGGGCTCCTCCGTCACACTGGCCTCGGCCCCGGGCATGAGTTAGAACAGCGGCCGCCTCCGAACCTTTAGATCCGGGCTCAGATCCGGGCAAAGCGGGGGATCCTCCGGTACATGCTGCAGAGAGGCGTTGGGATCCGGAGAAAGGCGGCGGACAGAGGCGGCGCGGCTGCGGTTCGCTCCGGGTTCGCTCCGGGTTCGCTCCGGTTCGCTCGGGTCGTTGTTGTGCAGCTGCTCTGCCTTTGCCTTCAGCAGCGCTCCGTCAGCACGCACAGACTCACGCACAGACGCACGCACGCACAGGGGCGGGGCGTTCTCAAACGGGGGATCACGGTCCACTAGAGGGCGCGCGGGTTCGGAGATTAAAGGTTAAATTTGAGGCTAAACTAAGAAACTGTTAGTTTAGCTACAAGTTTAGTTTATAAGAGTAAATAAATAAGCCTCAGATCCATTTGTGCAGCGGACTCTGACGCTGCGCATTTCTGAGGCTAATCTGAGGAGCATCTGGACTCCCACACATAGCACTTTCTCAAATATTTTTCCTAAATAAAAAAATAGTTTCCTATTTTGTCCCCTATGCGTCTGACACGTTTTAATGATTCTCTAATTTAGTGGGATTCCTGCTGGAAATATCTATCATTTAGAGAATTTAGAGTATAAATACAGACGACCAATCAGTTTATAAACTTCACTTTTTCTTTATGTTTTCTGCTTTCTACATTTTAGATACAAACTGAAGACATCAATCACGTGAGATATGAGATATTATGTAGCAAAGAAAAAGGTGAAATAACTAAGAAAATATTTTTTATATTTTAAACTCAAATTCCTCAGAGTATCCACTGTTTGCTTTGTGGACAGCTGCAATCCCTTGTCCTTCTCTCAATGAGCTTCATGATGAAGTCTCCTGAAATGGTTTTCACTTCACAGCTGTGCTGTGTCAGGGTCAAGAAATGACAAAAGTGCAAAGCAGTGATCAAAGCAAAGGATAGAGGCTCTTTTTAAAAACCTAAAAAAAGTTTATAGTTATTTTGAGTTTAATTTTTGTTTGCTACATTGCACATGTGTCACTTATAATTTTGATGCTTCAGTGAGATTCTATAGTGTGCTCATGGAAATCAAAAAGACCTAAATGAAAAGTGGGTCCCTGGTCCTGTGTATAAAGGTGAGTGTGTGCTGCCCTCGTGTGGTGGAGCCGGGAGCTGCAGATCAGAGGACCAAAGCTGTGGGTGATTCTCAATTCCCAGGATCCTTCTTCCTAAGACCACTTTGTATCACTCCTCCAGAGTGGGCTCCTCTGAAGCAGAGTCAAGTGTCTGTGAGAGCACATGGCTCCAGAGGGTGCGACAAACAAGCCCAGAGTTTTAATTAACATCCAGGTTCTACAAATGAAAAATGTTCAGAAGTGTCTTTATGTGCCCACATATGAATCTTGAAGTCTAAGTGAATCATCTGTTAAAATAAATAAATAAACCAATAAATGCACAGCCTAATACATGTTCAGATGATGATTTGACCCCCAATCCTGTTCTTAAGAAGATTTTGCTCAATGTGCTGCATTTGTCCTGATTTGAATTTTGCATTTTACTGATTAAATAAAGTTTGTTAAAAATGAAGTTGCAGTGCATTGTGGGCAATTTCAAGCACTCCAGGGCGGTTAAGGATCCCCCCGTGTATCCTTGGTAAATGAGCCAAACAGAGGAGTCGAGTGTGGAGGACGTGAGAGATTTGGGTGACTTGGAACACCAGTGGGCAGAGCTCTGAGCATGTGGATCTCACTGAAGTGGTTGAGAGGCCAAGCGTCCTGGTAACTGGGAAACACCTTCTGTGTGACATCAAGAGCGTGAAGGAGGGAGCTACACACTAACGGACAAAGAGATGAATGAATCTGTGAAAGTAAAATTCAACATGTTTATTGTTTCTTCCAAAACCTCAGTTACACATTATTTACATGTTAAATAGATTCTGTCAAAAAGCGCAGTTTTTATACAAGTCCACAAACAACCAGGCAAGTGTCCACAACAGAGGACACGAGCAGAGGATCTGTGCAGATCATGACCTGGATGCGGTCCCTCCGGGCAATACGATGTTAGGCCTTCTCCTGGGTGATCATGGCCTGGATGCCGTCCCTCCGGGCGGTATAAGGTGCATGCTTAAGTTGTAGTAGGTTTGCAGGAAACAGGTTACCGTTGGGGGCATACATCTCTTCTCCTTTCTGACCCATGAGTGACCGCAGCGTTCTATTCCTGGACAGGATTTTATCGTAAAACTCCACACCTCCGTTAGCATAGAGTGGGGAGACAGCGGCTGCGCGGCGGTCCGAGCTGTAGTCCACAAACTGCCCCACAGCGTCAGAGCACAGGAAGTATGAAACAGCACCGAGGCAGAGAGAGAGAGCGTTCACCGCCACCCTGAACACCATAGGCCCACTGTGCAGACCAAAGACCTGCTTTAAGAGCACGCTGTAGACCCAGACTCCACCCACACACGCCGGCGCCACCGCCGCACTCAGCACCGGGAGGCAACCGTCCAGCCGTGCTACCTCACGAGCCAACGCAAACTTCTGAGCGGGTTCAGAAAGCACCAGGGCATGTCTGAGGGCAGTGCCTGTGGCGCTGCTCCAGTCCACGGCGCGGCCGTTGATGAAGATTGTTCGGTCGGTGATGCCCGTGGTGTCCTCTTCGCTGCTGTTGAAGTTGGCAGGGATCCCCACATGCACACCAGAGGGCAGAAGAGGCAGCCCCGCTCCCACAGGGTGGAACCCGAACGACGCGAATGCCAAGAACTTCTGCGGAGAACTGACACAATAGTCTTGAAGAACCTGGGGATGGGATCAGGAGGGAGGAAGCGATTAGTGACTCAGTAAAATTATTATGAAATATTATAAAGGTTATAGTATCAGGTCTAAACCTGCACTAAACCAGGACTAAACCCAAACCCAGACCTGTTGGAAAAGTTTCTCCAGCTTTGGGGACAGCTGGACTGGCTCTCCTTTAGACCAGGCCTGGTACAGGGAGCAGAAGGTCTGGTCTGGGACTAGGTGCTGGACCAGGTTGAGTCCAAAGAGTCCAGAGCAGGTGGAGATGAGGAGAGGAGAGCGATACTTCTGCATCAGAGCAGAGACACGTAGCCAGCCCGACGCCATGGCAACAGGACACAACACTGCAAAACAGACAAACAGACAAACAAACAAACAAACAAACAGACATGGTGTTATTGTCAGCGGATCATCTCAGGATGTTCATATTTTAAAGGTCCAACTACACAAAACTGACTTTGGTGAGTGTGAAGAAACCCTCAGTCGTCCAGGTAGAATCCATGGCGAGTTTTGCCCAGTCGACAAACTGAATTTTCTCCTCGTCATGACTTGGGTGATCTTTAAATCATGTTATAATCCTTTTACCTCCTAAAAAACACACCTGTTGTGTTTTGTTTCATTCACACGTGTTTGACTAACACTTTGTTATTACTCTGTCTACATATCCAAAACTCAAAATGCTATGTTCCACTTTGTGATGTCATGAACTGAATTCACTTAACTTCCACGTTAACAGTCCCTTTTACCTTTATTTCAGTAAAATTTGGCAATTCCAGGGATGAAATAATGCAAATGATTCCAGTGACGTATATGGAGTTTAAAAACGCAGTGGAGCACTTCCTGTATTGCCACATGACATCACAAGGTGGACCAGAGTGTCTTTTGTTTGAAAGAAGTACTGATGTTTCCCCTTTGCCATGGTTGCCAATCATAGATCCATGTTGCCAATTCGAGCACAGTGGACAGCAGGACTGAAGGGACACATAAAGCTGACATGACAGACCACACTAGTCTGTGATTGGTTAAACCCACCTGTCACTCAGTCGTAACAGAGGCAGAGGAGCTGTGTCTGAGGGGTTGGACACGTCTGGAGCGGAAGACACTGTTAACTATGATGCACTAGTGCTAACCTCTCTGCCATTAAATACCCCACGTGCGTCACCACTTCACCAGACTTCACCAAACACCAGATCTGACTCGTCACGTGTCTGATTTTAGGCCACATCTTGTCACAGTAACAGCAGTGATGTAACGGACATGAATCTCACCCACACAGCTCTCACGTGCACGCGCGCTCTCCGCACGAGGCTCCTCTCGCCGTGACACAAACACGCAGACCTGCGCTGTTGTGGGGTCAGATCCTCCCGTGGAGCGTGGATCTGTAGCTCTCTGGTCCTCACACTCCGGACACTTTCCTAAGGACATCCATGACGCTGCCGTAACGCGCTCCGTCCGTGCACTGCCGTATGGACAGGCACAGTGTTTACGACAGTCACGTGGCTCACAAAAGCCTCCTGACCTCATTTTTATTTTTATACTAAAACAAGGAACTAAAAGTGGGCATTAAAAGGAAGTATGTTTCAGTTTTTTTCCTCGAACTTAGAGCAGCTCTCTCATGCGGGCTCTGAAAAGACAAAGAAATAGTTCTTTATTTTTTAAGTCACAAGTGAATGTACAAGATTCACTTTTGTAATAAGAAAAATGCTCTTAAATTATGACTGTAAAAAGATGTTTTTATGAATGGGTGAGGAGGGATTCGAACCTTCAACCCTGGTCACACATCAGTCCGTATGTGTTGCGCTCTGCGTCTTTAAGCGCATCACGTCGTTTCCCTGGCAACACGGACAGGAGACGGAGACGAAAAGAATACACCGTAATAAAATATATTACACGAGCCAACACCGATTTACACTAGAACTTTACAAACAGGCTGTTCATAATTACACTTATACTGTTACTGCCGTATTTACAAAATGTGACTGTTCGGCCTCTCCACTTCTATTTATGTAACCTACCTGCAAGAACCTCCAGGACTAAACCAGGACTAAACCAGGACTAAACCACCAGGACTAAACCAGGTCTAAACCTGGACTAAACCAGGACTAAACCTGGACTAAACCTGGACTAAACCAGGACTAAACCAGAACTAAACCAGGATTAAACCAGGACTAGACTAAAACGGGACTAAACTAGGACTAAACCAGAACTAAACCAGGACTAAATCAGGTTTAAGCCAGGACTAAATCAGGTTCAGGCTAAGTCTAAACCAGGTGTAATCCAGGTGTGGAGTAGATGCTGTCTAAAGTGTCTCCTCTCCGTCTGTTCCGTTTCCGGCGCGGTCCCTTTAAAGCGCAGCGTAATGGGAGCGTCCATTCCGCGCAAAGCAGAAGCGCAGCAGCCGCGTCTCTGCTGCGTTCCGTTCCGCAGTGGCCGCGTCCAGTCCAACAGTGGACCGTCCCTTCCGTCAGATCCCTCAGCACACCGCTCCTAAACCGCTCTGAAAGCGCGTGAAGCCCCCCGGTGGCGCGCTGTTAGCCCGCTCCTCTCCGGTCCTCCGCGGCAGCCAGAGCCGAGCAGCGCGCCTTGTTTTCGGACAGATGTGAAGCGGAGCAGCGGTGAGATGTGAGGCCAGTCCCCCGCCTTCGTCTGACTATAGGGTGAGTATTTCTCTTAAATCTACACGGAGCGGCTCTAACGGAACCGTCTGTGCACTGGCTACACCAGAATCAGACCCGTTTGAGTCTTTTCTGGCCCCAAAACGCGATGACAGCGCAGCGGATCCGCTCAGAGCCGGAGCAGAGCCACATAACAGAGAAAAGAGCCGTTTTAGTCGCGTGAGGAGCCGAAGCGTTTGCGGAAATCCATTTTTGAGGCTGGAGATGAAAAAGGGGCGGACACTGGCGGCGGAACCCACGGTCGGGCCTCGGTTTGGGAGATCTGGGCTGTGCTGTCACCGGCGCGGCAGCAGAAGCTCCGGGGACGGGACTGTGTGTGCTTGTACCGTTATAATGGGAATATGAGGCCCGTTTAAGAGACCGGGAATAACGGGAGACACGGACACACGCGCCTCCTGCGCAAACTGACTCCAGGAACGGCGAAACGGCTCACGGTACCGGCGGCTCTGTGACCCGAGTCCGTTTAGATCGGGTTTAGATCGGGTTTAATCCCGGTTTAATCTGGGTTTAGAATGGGTGTAGTCCTGTTTTAGTCCTGGTTCAGTCCCGTTTTAGTCCCGTTTTGGTCCTGGTTCAGTCCTGGTTCAGTCAGTGTTTTGTATAATAGCCTTATTGTAATTTAGTTACTCATTATTCTGTCACGTTTAAGTCCTTGTTTAGTCCCGTTTTAGTCGTGGTTTAGTCCTGGTTTAATCACGGTTTAGACTGGGTGTAGTCCTGGTGTAGTCCTGGTGTAGTCCTGGTGTAGTCCAAGTTTAGTCCTGGTTCAGTCAGTGTTTTGTATAATAGCCTTATTAATTTAGTTACTCATTATTCTGTCATGCTATGACCATATGGAGATTAAAGAGAAAAGAACCAAAACGGAGCAAAGAATAGAACCAGGACTGAACCAGGACTAAAGCAGGACCACCTTGTGCTATAGTCTGGGTGTTTGGATCAGAGCAGAGTCAGAGGAAGGAAACATCCTCTTCCCCCCATTGTTTCCAAGGGTGAGGCCCGAGAGCCTCCTCCTGTGTGTCAGATGCCCTCCCGTCCTCCTGTGTCTCTGTGTGTCAGATGCCCTCCCGTCCTCCTGTGTCTCTGTGTGTCAGATGCCCTCCCGTCCTCCTGTGTCTCTGTGTGTCAGATGCCCTCCCGTCCTCCTGTGTCTCTGTGTGTCAGATGCCCTCCCCTCCTCCTGTGCCTCTGTGTGTCAGATGTGCCTAGATGATTTTTTGTACCTGCTATGATTGTATTGTGCCCTGAATAATCACAGTTATTGATGAAGCTGATAACCTTGACCCCCCAGGACGGCCCCCTGCCCCCTGCCCTCTGCCCTCTGCCCCTCCCCCCGCTGCTCCTCTGATTCCCTGCCCTTTGCCCCTCGCCCCTCTGCCCCCTGCCATGGCGTCCAGCGCGGTGCCCAGTGAGGACTTGCCCACGTACAAGCTGGTGGTGGTGGGTGATGGGGGCGTGGGGAAGAGCGCTCTCACCATCCAGTTCTTCCAGAAGATCTTTGTCCCGGATTACGACCCGACCATCGAAGACTCCTACCTCAAGCACACCGAGATCGACGGGCAGTGGGCCATTTTAGATGGTAACTGTGCTCCTGTCTGCTCCTCTGTGTCTGCTCCTCTGCTCCTCTGTCTCTGCTCCTCTGCTCCTCTGTCTCTGCTCCTCTGTCTCTGCTCCTCTGTCTCTGCTCCTCTGCTCCTCTGTCTCTGCTCCTCTGCTCCTCTGTCTCTGCTCCTCTGCTCCTCTGCTCCTCTGTCTCTGCTCCTCTGTCTCTGCTCCTCTGGCTCCTCACACACGTCTGTTGGTTGCAGTCCTGGACACGGCTGGTCAGGAGGAGTTCAGTGCGATGAGGGAGCAGTACATGAGGACAGGGGATGGGTTCCTCATCGTTTTCTCCGTCACAGACAAAGCCAGTTTCGAGCATGTGGACAGATTTCACCAGCTTATCCTACGAGTGAAGGACAGGTGAGGCAGATGTTTGACCTGATTCAAGTGCATATGACATTTGCCGAAAGTTTTACAACAACACAAAGCAAACTGGAATGAAAAGTAGAAAAATTAGTTGAAAACGGCAGGATGTTGCAAAGTTCTAAAACTCACACTAGGGAGAATTCTATCCAAAGGTTCAGCACAATTTACACACACACAAAAAAACATTTTTCAGACACATGATTTCAACAAAATAAAAGTGTTTTGTTTTACGTTTATTTGTCAGATAATCTTTGTGGACATTAGAGGAGTTTTAGCTCAGAGTACAATATGGTTGCTAAGTAACAGTTTTGGAATTCCTTAGTGTGATGTCACGATTTCCAACCATTTTTTTTAAAGATGCATTGTGTAACTTTCCTGGTGGAGGGTCCTTTACACAATGCACCTTTTAAACCAAAAAAAAAAAAAAGTCATAGGACTTTTAATATCTGTAATTCTTGGGTCTGTTCACATGAAACAAACATCTGACATGATTTCATTCACTAAAACTGTGGAAAAAAATATTTGTGCACAAGTTGTAGTTACATAAACAAGTCCATGCATAAAATAGAAAATCAGGTTAAGATGTGTCTGTCTCACCTGTCCTTTCTCTTTGTCTCATCATGCCTTTCCTTCCCCATTCTCTCCTTTCTCTCTCCTCTTTTTCTCCTCTGCCCCCTCTCTGTACTCCCTCTCTACCTCCTCTCTTTTCTCTCCATCCTTTCCTCTACTTTTCCCTCCCTCCTCTCTCTTCCTCATCCTCCCTCCCCCACCTCTCTCTGTTTCTCAGGGAGGCGTTCCCCATGGTGTTGGTGGCAAACAAAGTGGACCTGGTTCATCTGAGGAAAGTGTCTTCTGAGCAGGGCCAGGAGATGGCAGCAAAGCACAGCGTCAGTCTTACTTTACACTTTTATTTAAGGCCACACATTGCTGGCGCTGCTCTTGGTCTCTTAACATAGAAGCTTATTTCATTTAATCACCTCACATCCATAGAGTTCTATTTTACATTATTACACTGTAACTTCAAAGGTTGTTTTCTCAAAATGCATTTCTCCTACAGCGACATCAGGATCAGCCCTTAAAGCAGCACCTGCACGCACAAAACGTTTGGATTTTGACAAAAAGTACAGAAGGATGTTTTATTCAAGTCTGATTTATTCACGTTTTAATTTCAAACTTAGGCAAATTTAGAATTTTTAGGCAAATTTTCAGTCAGATCTAGTTTACTCAAATACTAAATAAGACATCCAAAACCCTCTTTGTATAATTTATCTATTCAAATTTATCTGTATCTAATATGTCAACAAAAATAAGCAAGGAATTTAAACTTTGCTCTTTCCATTTCTCTGGTTTAAATGTCCCAAAATGCTCAATTGTGTCACACAATAAGTGCCTTATTTTGTATAAAAACATTACATGATGAAAAACGTATATGTATATTTTTGTCTTACATTTATGTGAGTAAACTACAGTTTTAGTTTTAAAATTATATTTAGATATTTTCTTAGGCTGTCTCGCCTAATAAAAGATCTGTTTCTCTCTTAAATGTATGAATGAATGCGTTAAACTCCTGATTCTGCTGCATTTTGTTGTTTTCATTTGAATTATGTCTGAAAAACAAATACTTAAAGCCACAGTTTTTAGCCAAAAAATAGACAAACAAAACAAAATATGTCCTTACTGTCAGCGGGCTTGCATTTCCACAAACCTGACTCTTGTTTAGCCTTTCAGAGGGCCTCTTCCTGCTTGTTTGCATCGACATGTTCCACAGTATGACATTAAACTGATTTATCTCCATGGAGAATGTTCTGAAGTGTGGCTTTAATTTTATACTTTTAGTACTGAACTCCAGGGATATTTCTGAGGAGGACATAAGACGACATTTAGAACAGGGTTAAAGCGTCACTGCGGAACATTTTATCACATTAGGGATGGCAGAGGGCAAGACTCAAAGGAAGATTTTTATCTTCACAAGTTTAAGTATTGTTCCGTTTGTATGTTTGTTCCTGTTGCAGATCACTTACATAGAGACCAGTGCCAAAGACCCGCCCATGAACGTGGACAAGGCGTTTCACGAGCTCGTCAGGGTCATCAGGTACATCACACTACAACCACATCCATCACGTTCATGTTCCTTCATCCCAAACACGCCTGAAGACGTTTTACATGTCATCCATGTCTATGTCGTGCATGTATTCAAACCCTCCTTATGGTTAGCTATAAAAGCCTGTACAAGGCTCCGCCCACAAGTCTACATCGCCCACGCTCCCACACGACAATCCTCCATAAATACACAAAAACATGACAAAAACTGTACATGACAACTTGACAAACCTGATGCTTTGTGCAGGAGTTTCATTAGTGGGATGCACAGTGACTGTATTGTGATAGCGCTCTGAAGGGGGAGTGACGTAGTGGCGAGAGCAAATAGAGGGGAAACTTAGAGCATCAAAAATTAAAGTGAAACTTAAAGAAACATGTTAATACATTGTTTTCAACTTATATAGCATTTTCAAAACAATAAAAGTTTACATGGTGAACTAAATATATTCTGTGTTACACTCAATACCCCACAGTGAAAACCCCCTCTATAACACAGTTATAATGCAGTTATAATGCTGTTATGAGGAGCACAGGAGTCACACTGCAGCTGTATGCACTGAAGAGGACAAAGAGCACCCTCCTGTGGTCAAACTGTAGAATGCACCAGCAATCTGGACAAGTGCATGAAGCACAAGGCATGAGAACAGATGAATAACATTTACATACAACAACCTACAACAAATGGGACTAAACCGGGACTGTATCAGGACTAATCTAGGACTAAAGCAGGTCTATAAACCAGAACTATAAAACAGGACTAAAGTACTTTTAATTTGAACATTTAAAATCACAATATTGATGTAAAACAATTGACTTGCATTAGAAAACTGTGGCGTTTGTGGCTTTTGTACAAAATGACCACACAATGCTGTTGAGTCCTACATGTATCACAGATTAAAGAAAGTCAAAGTGGAGAAGGAGGTAGATTGGAGCAGTGGTGCCCTGAACAAAGGAGAATATAGATGACTCAGACATGCATGAATCATTCCAAATACAAATTGAGAGGATCATTGAGAAGAAACCACTAGAACATGTTCCAATGTGAATAATAGATCTGATTTAAAGTCTAATGAGGTGAATAAAGATACTTTCGTGAAGTGAATCTAACCTGTCACATGAGCTTTAAATTAATATTTGATGTTTTATGTTTGCTTGTTTTTTAACAGGCAGCAGGTCCCAGAGCGACACTTGAAGAAGAAAAAGAAGATGAAGTGGCGAGCAGAGAGAAGCGCAGCCCACCGCCACAGAAGACTCACCTGCGCCCTCCTGTGACCACAGATAGAACTGCACCCACACACTCACCTGCACCCACACAGTCAGCAGCGTCCCCTAGTGTCCCCAGCACACTACAGGAGCACAGACCCAGCGCTCTCATTGGTCTGAGTGGTCTGATTGATCTGCACTCTGATTGGACGCTTGTCCTTTGACGGACGCCTTGAGTGGACCACAGTGAGCTGCACTCTTCTCTTCTCTTGGATACATGTCCGTGATGTTCTGTGATTGGTCGATGGGATATTCTTTGCTCTGACTGGGTGAAATGGGCAGGGGCTCGGTCTGACTTTATTCTGATTGGACAAGAGGGAATAATTCTCCTGTGAATGGATGCCACGCCTCTCTCAGTGTTTCTGATTCTTCATCAAGGAACAGATCATGTCTGTGATCGACTGAGATGTCTATCGGAGCCTCTGATTGGCTAAGATATCTATCAGAGCCTCTGATTGGCTGAGACGTCTGTTATAGCCTCTGACTGGCTGACTCGCCTCTTTCAGAGTCTCTGATTGGCTGACAGACAGGTTTAAGAGCACAAAAGGATGTTCACGTGGAGGAATTTCATGCAGTGGTGCTACTGTCTTTTTTGTCAATCACAATTTTCAGGAAAATCTCATTTTCTTTTATTTAAAGACAATTTTTACAGAGGGACATGAAAGTGTGAAAGAAAGATGCAGTGAAGCAGAAGGGAGGAGCAGGTTTAAGTTCATGCAGACGGTTCAAACTCTGAGATCCTCAGAGATCAGGGCCATGATTTTGGATTAGAAAGATCTCCTGTTCACCTGTGTCATAAACCCACCCAGAGCATTCACATGAGAGACTGAAATCTGAACTCATCCTAGAATCCCATGTATTTCAGAACATGTCTGTGAGGTTTGAACCACTTCATAAAGAAACAGCACAACAGTAAACCACAGGAGTCATCCATGTTCACTGTTCAACCCTGAAGCTCAAATGTTAAAGCTGCACTGTCTACCTTTTTTCTGGTCTCCATGGAGATGTCATTTTTTGCCAGGAATATTCCACAGTATGGCATTTAACTTCTAACCCTCCTTGGAGAAAAGCAGGCGAGGTGACCCGGCTCACAGTAAGAATTTGTTTGTCAGTGTAGTATTCTACCAATAAAAACACGCTATTAAAATCAATGTAAAACAGTGGGGCCAATCAAATGGTGGTTTTAATAATCGAGATTTTGACAAAGTGCTAAATTGTGAAACTGAGGATTATTTAAAGTCAAGTTTATTCCACAGTAACTCTGCACTGTGCAATTAAACTATTCACTCATTCTAACTGAAATGATTCTGATTAGACAGAAAGATCAGACACATGTAACTGAAGGCAGGTAACAATTTTTTAAAGAGGGGATATCACGCAAAAATAATATTTAATATTTTGTTTTAACTTTGTTGCCTCATCAAAAACATGCCTCAAGAGGTTTTAGATATCATCCATGCATGCTTGAGTAATTTAGCCCTGTTCAAACCCTTCTTCTGGGCAGCAGTACAAGCCTGTACAAGACTCCGCCCACAAGCCTACGTCACAATTTCCCATAAATATACAAAAACATGATACAAAACTCTACAGAACAACTTTACAAACCTGATGCGAAGTGCAGTAGTTTCATTTGCAGGATGCACGTGATTGTGTTGTGATAGCGCTCTGAAGGGGGAGTGACTTAGCATGGGTAATGCTAACTCCCTCCCACTTATTGTATTTTCTAAATTACAAAAGTTAACATGGTGATCTAAATCTGTTCTGTTACACTTAATAACCCCTCTTTAAAAGTGTATGTGTGTAATGTGCAGTGGGTGAGGAGCTGATCCGGGCCTCTTCTGTTCTGTGTGTGACAAGACTCTGAATGATGTTTAAAGTGCATATGACAGGTGCATATGACAGGTCAGACAACTCTCTGAAACACACTTAACATGAAGAGATTTAAGATTTTACAAAAGAAAAGCTGTTTTGTCATTTTGGTGTCACTATCCACTTCTGACTTGGTGGTTGGACACGGGCAGCAGATATGACATACAGTATGTAGTGATATGTTACCTAGCAACCACATTGTAAACAAGGGCCAAAACCTAAAAAGTCTAATTTCTACTGTAGATCTAATTAGACTAATAAATATACATGTCAACATCTTGATTTAGTAAAAAGAAGGTTTAAAGTGTCAGAAAAAGTCCTTTCTTGTGTGTAAATTGTCTCTGTACTTTGGATGGAGTGTTGATGACATCAGCAGAGGGATTCTGTTTCACAGCTCAGAGCTACTTCCTGTATTTTCAACTCACTGTCACATGACTGATGTAAAACTATGATCAGTAGTGATCACAGGTACACTCCCACTTAACTAAAGTCAGTATTAGAAAATGATATGAATCTGTAAAATGCACTTTAAATTCTGTGGAAGCAGCAATGATCATTTAGAGTTTTTAGACACTTCAATGTGGTTCTGACACTTTCTCTTTGATTTTCATCAGATACATCAGAACATCTGCAGATAGACACATTTGACCTGTCCCCATTTCAAGCTAACACTACAGGGATACAGGAGGATGGGAGGGCATCTGACTCACAGGGATACACGGCTCAGACTGTTACTGTGCACAGCGCCCCCACAGTCCTGCTCCTGCATCTCGCTGGCAGCGGTGTGCACTTTTTTCGAAACATGGTGGTGAATGTGGTGACGTGGCTTTAAACTCAAAATGCTCCAAAACCAAAGGAGTCATTTTAGTCCAATTGTGAGAATGAAAATGTCCAGTGTTTGTCAGCACCATAGACTCTATATGTGTGTGTGCATGCGTGTGCGTGCATGTGCGTGTGTGTGTGCATGTGTGTGTGTATGTGTTAGGATTGTAATTAACTAAAGACATACTGTATCTCTCTGTATCTGACCCACTGCACTCACAGGCAGTGGTGGAGTTTGCTATTTGGAGGCTCTAGGCAAACTTGAGTTTAGGGCCCTCACTTATATGCACCCTTTTTTGTTTTGTTTTTTAATATATTTATTGTCTGTTTCTCCCCATTGTTCTTGAGACATGCACATCTCTGTTTATTTGAATTATGGTGGATTGGAAACTTGTCTTATTAGTTCGGGCTAGAAAACCAGTGCTGAAAGTAGTTTTATTTTTTTCTTATGATTATTGTTTAAAAGTAAAACTACTCTCATTTAATGTCATATTGAGAGAAAATCTAATTGCTCTGAGGCCTCAACCATTAGTGGCACTGAGGGCAATTGGTTGGGGGCCCCTCCAGGTTTGAGGGCCCAAGGCAGCCGCCTACTTTTGCCTAAAGGTAGCTCCGCCTCTGCTCACAAGACGACACCTACAGGGGGAGTTCATGCAAAAACTATTATTTATGCAGATTCAACTTGTAAATCATGAGTTTAATCTGACTTTTTACAAAGAAATACCAAAAATACAAAATCTGCAGCTCACTCACTCTCTTCTCCTTTCTGCTGTGTCCTCTAGACGCCCTGACGATCGATTAATACACATTTGGTCGACTCAGACTCCGTCAGCTGATTAATCGACTAAATGACTAAAAGCCTACAGCCCTAGTCTGTGTGTGTGTGTGGGTGTGGGGGGGTGTGTGTGTGTGTGTGTGTGTGTGTGTGCGTGTGTGTATAGACTTGTACATAGAGTCTATGGTGAACATGGAGCCGCGGCACAAGTGCTCTTACCCTGAATGTCACGTCTCTTTATACTTTTCTATGGAATTATTCTCAGTCTTTAAGTGTTTTTAAAATGTAATTTATTATTGTATGTTTTACTCTTCTGGTCAGTCCAGGCACAGTCCTGGTGCAGACCTGGTTTAGTCCTGGTTCAGATCTAGTCTCTATCTCTTTGGTTAAAATAAATCTCATTAAAATGCTCCTTTGAATTTGTCATTTATTTTTGAATGTTCTTCCTTAAATCAGCTCATCGTGCTTGCATCTGCATTTGAAGAAAATCGCCACCAGGTAAGGCTCAAAATGTCCCATAGCATTTTATAACAGACTGTAGCTGGGAAAGGATTGTGAGGAGCGGGTCTGTCAGCTCTACAGCGCGGGGGTGGACTTGATCTGATCCAGGGGACTTGTTTATGAACATTCTCCATCAACCTTCTCACCTGGACAGATGACAAAGACACTGGGCTGGGCTGCTCTAATCTATGGATTTTGTCTGTTAGACAAAATGTGGGTTTCACTCAAAGTGACAAGGGCTATCAGTTATTTCTGAAAAGTTCCATAAATAAACTGGTGTGTATATTATTTTTTTTCTGAGCTTCAGTGATATCGTGACCTGCACACTTTGGATTAGGTTAACCCAAAAGCTGATAAGTATTTTGTTTTCTGCCATGTGAAGCCCATCAGATATTGATATAAAGCAGTAGTGCGCAGTCAGAGCAATCAAGGCCAGCAGTGTTTGACCAATAACATCTAAAATCATTGTGTGTCAAAAGTATAATTAAATAGTTTCTTATAGGAATTATAGAAAATATGGTGTTTTCCTGTACGACACAGAAAGTATCACATCTCTAGGGCTAATAATTTCACACTTGTAACTGTACACGTGATTAAGACGATATGATCATTTATCTGTTTGCACACAGACATGCAGCACTAGTCCAGTGCCTGCATGTCTGTGTGCTTTACATTTCTCACATATTTAAAGCAAATGTACTTCAGACGTATTCAGTAAATGCTGATCTGATCAAGTCCATAAAGTCTGTGGGTTTGTACGCTACATCACATTTAAAAGCTGCAGCATGCTGCATTAAAATGAAGTCCATATAATATATTCCATACCTAGTTGTCTGTTTGGCCTTTTGACTTTCCAGTTCATTCAAATAAGACACTTCATACAGAGAAACCCGAGAGGAAACAAATATTGTCATTCCTTTGATTTCACATCTTCTATTTTGTTCCCTAGGTCACTTCATCAACATACAAATCTTCTCAACAAAACCATAACAGATGTAAGAGGGAGCCAGGCATACCACGTCCATGACAACAGAAGAGTGTAGAATGCATTTTCTTTCATTTGTGAGCTGTAATATCAAATCTATGCAGAATTTTAAACTGAATCATTTTGTATCTTACACATTTGGAGGAGTTATTTAGTTATATGTAAGTATAACAGCCCACTGGTCTGTTGTTTGTTTTGTATTTGGATCTGCTCTAGAGTCAGTCTGCTGCATTCAAAGAAAGTGGGACATTTTAATCCCTGAAATTGTATTCACTTTCCATACTTTACAATTTGGCCCAAACGAGTAATATTCTTCCCACAGCAGAGTGATTTGTGAGGGGTTTATCCCGGCTGAAATGGCTGGGCTGTACCAGAGGGAGGCTTTCTTCTTACAGCCATCTCCAACTTTTTCATTTAGAAGATTGGGAGTGAGGAACATATTTTCAGTCTTTATATGTTTCATATGAAAATTGACAATAAATATTTTGGATTGAATGGAACTGAAAAAGAAAAGACAGTCTTGTTAACATATTCATCTTCAATATTGCTCCTATCTCCCATAATAATACTGGTAAATCTGACCACCATTTCAAGTCTTCTGTAATTACGACAGTATTGTCTATGACTGATTTTATATTAATTGATAAATATCTCATGCCTTGGAGTTTCCACATAACTTGGGTTGATGCAGTCAGGACCAATCAGAACAGAGGTTCTACTGCAAGGGTCTATCGACCTGGGGAGGTGGGAAATCTTCGGCTTGTGGACCTAAAGAGCCTGACAGGAGTTGATATTTGTCCTGTAGTCTTGACAGAGGCACAGGGATTGTTGTTGATCAGAACCATTGAATGCATTTAGGCCCAAATCCTTATTTTGATAAACCATTACATAAATATGACTTTATTGTGGATTATTTTCAAAGATATATTTAAATTCAGATTATTGTGTACATTTTATTCATTTTAAAAAGTAATTTTGTCATGTTATTTCAAGAAGACAATGAGCAATGACAATTTTAACAATAACAATTCATTTTCCAGCTTTCTTAACGGCTTTGTCCAGAGCAGTGAGCTGTCATCACCATGATCAAACACACGAGGAAGAGGCAGCATTTAGTTTACAAAAGAAATAAACTAAAGAAAATATTTGTTTCCATATAAATACTAGTCAGTGATACATGAATGTTTATTTTGTTCCAGTATCACTGCTCACTTTTAGTCACAGCCCAGATGGAGACTTGGTTTGGCCCTGGTTTAGTCCTGGTGGAGCTTAGCTATCTTAACTCAGTCCCAGGTTTGATATGGTGTGTGCAAGTTGTGACTGCATCCCAACACAAACATTAACATGCTAAGTATCCAGAAAGGAGGGGCACAGTGGGTGGCTGAGTGACTAACACTCATGCTGCACAGCCAGAAGGTTCTGGGTTCAACTCCTAGACCTTTCTGTGTGGAGACTGAATGTTTCTCCTGGAGTCTGGATGGGTTTCCTCTGGGCACTCCTGTTTCTCTCCAAAACATGCACCAGGTGAAATCCATGGTCAGTATTACTTTAGCTAAGAAGCCCTGACCAAGCCTTGGAAATGCCCCAGTGGTACTGAAGAATGGGTCAAATGCAGAGAGCAGATTTCCTTAGTGTACCTACTGATTTGTTAGTGTACCTAAAATCTAAACTAGACCATTTTTCTGTGGTGGAAGTTGTTCTATTGCTTAGAGTTCTTAAGAAGCTTTCCTAAACAGGAAAAAGTTTTTCCCAGGCTGATTTCTCCCTCAGACTTCCACTGCATTGATATTTAGCAATTAGGAAGGCACTGTCAGGCACTCAAACTGCACCATATTAGTGAAAACAGTGAAACCACTGCGCTGGTGGTGAGTGCAGTGACAGAAAATGTCCAAATAATTTCCCTTGTGGATCAATAAAGTGTGTCAAAGTGTAAGTTTTTACACTATAATTTAATTCAACTCAATGTAAAAGTATTCAGAAACAGCACTGTTGAGGAAAATAACCCTTTCCTCGTGTGTTCATTAGTTTCTGCTTAGACAAAAAATTACACTTGAAACAGAAATAAAGTCCAGATCATTGACTTATTCCAATATTAGAAAAGTCATACTTGTACAAGGAGTCTGTGCTGACATTCCCATGCAGAGACTGAATATTTACGCCTATACAATGACATTTATATGCAAACTATAGTGGGAGGCGACCATGGTTTAGACTTAGTGCCTCTTCGTTGGTGCACAGACCAGCCAGGCCTCTTGGCACGTTGCACAGTCTCATCTGATTGTGACAAGGATCCCCCGGCTTCATCTCACTCCCCTCACGGGAGTCTCGCTGGTCTGATCAGGGTGATGAGTCATGAGTCAGTATATCCCTATCAATAAGTCCTTGCCCTGTTTAGTTAATTGATTAGACATATAGATAGAAATAGAATATCTTGTACATGAACTGAACCTATCTCTGCATCCCTCAGCTGTAATCTAGTCCCTGTTTTCTGGGTCATTGTATAGTGAATTCTAATAGTACAATAATGAAATATAGCAGCACATCAATAACTGTACAGCAGCACATCAGTTACATCATAGCAGTAGTTCTACACCACCTAAGCCTAGTTATTTATCCTAACTGTACTCTGATTAGATTATGTGTCAGAATCAGAATGTTACCAAATATACTTTAAAGTATTCACTAAATAGGCTTACATTTTCAGAGAATTCTTCCCATGACTGCATATAGTGTGCTGAGAATGAGAACAGTGGATGTGTGTGTCTGTGTAAATTCAGATGCTCTTTTTCAGAGTAAAATAATTCACAAAGACAAATTCAGAGCCGTTTAAAATTCTAATTCTGATGGAACAACTTATCTTCCATATAAGGCTCAGTTTTATGTTCTTTTAAATCTCAACTTGTACTTCATGTTCCGGTCCAGCAGAGGGCGCCACGCTTTCACACTGCGGGGAGCTGCGCATGCGTGCACCGTGCGCTCTGGCCACAGCGGAAGAACTGGCATTACTTCAGTGATGGACGTTTTGCCGGTGTTTGTCTGCGCCGCGCACTAAAACACCGCTGTTTGCGCCACTCCAGACCCGAAAAGCACCGACATCTCTGCACTCTGCTTCTGCCCGTCCACACGCGCAGCGGACGGATCTCTCTGCGGGCTGTTCCTGCGCTCATGCCCCGGAGAACAGACGCTAAACCCGGTGTATCGCGCTCGGATTTCTCCTAAGGGAACGCATCACTTTCCCACGACAGTCTCCTGACCTGTGAGGTGAGAATGGCTTTTGTAAGCGCCATGATTGTGCGGTTCTGGCGTCCCTTTGCCTGGGCTTGCCTTGCCCTACTTCTGACCTACTTTGTTCACACAGACGCACGCCCTCCAGAACTCCTCCAGAACTCCTCTAGGATTTCATTAGGCCCATAGGAAGGGACAGTGGCGTGTACGTGTACTTGTAGCAGAAGATCAGCGGGGTCAGCCCTATGTTCCCTCATTTCTAAGATTTTTTTTCTAAGATTTTTCTCAAAATGAAACTCTAAGTCAAGTAATTTAAAGGGACGATTCAGAGTCATTTCACCCTCGGGTCTTTTTGCACCATGACCTCTACATTACATCTGTAGTCAACTGCTGGATAATAGGTCGGGTGTAACTACCAAACTAGGAGAAATGGGGATAAATCTGATCCAAATTGATGTTAAGGAAATGTGGGAACATAGGGCCTAATTTTGGAAAAAAAAAGAGAAAGTTAGTAATGAGGGAACATAAGGCTGAGGGATCAGCCTACAAGTGCAGCTCTTGATGTGACCTGTGCTGGTCTTTACAAGGGATGCACCCATCCAGCTTTTTCAGTTCCAGTACCGATATCAACAGATACCGTCCAGAGACTGAAACCTGCATTTATTTCCTTAAAACAAAAATCAAATAAGACAAAACATATCTAAATGTGTTTATTTCTCTCTCAAGTAATGACAGAACAGTTTTGTCTAAATCAAAATCAAACATTATGAGACTTTCTGGGCCAAATATGACCAATAAATAGTCTTATTACATCAGTGTGCATGTTCAAAGAGGATACCGCCTCAACCGATATTTGGAAGCCAATATCCGATCTAGGAAATGTGTCAGTATCAGCACAGATTTCCAGTACCAGTATCCAGAGATGGGAACTTGGCAAATAGTGACATGGACTGGACTTGAGACTTGACTTGACAAAATGGACTAAGACTTGGCACTCGACTTGAAGGTCAGTGACTTGGGACTTGAGGCCTGTGACTTGAGAAGTCTTGATGCTTCTCCTAAAAAATATATGTTTTTAGAAAATACTTTTCTCTTTACAGCTGATAAATGTGGTGCTTAATTTTACAGGAACAAACTGGATCATGCCCCTCCCACTTCTGTTTGTTGATTTGGTTGTAACTGACGTACTGTGAGATAGTATCTTCAAATGTACTAATGTAGTGTATGTAATGTAATGTAGTAATATACAGTAATATACAGTACAGTACAATACAGTAAAACAGAAAGAACTACAAAGAACAGAACTCTTCCATTTCAGTACAGACTATCTGACAAATTAACTGTTAAAGAATTCAATCTGAATTCTTTCTGTTCTGACCATAGTGATTCACACAAAGATCGTGTCAAGACATTTAAGTAGAATTTATCTTAAAATTCATATAAATTCCCAAAATCTAAGCTGTATTTGGGATTTTGGTTTAAAGACTTGAAATGACTTGAAGCTCAAAGCAAATGACTTGGACTTGATTTGAATTTATGGGCCAGTGACTTGAGACTCGACTTTGACTTGGAGCCCTGCAATCCCGCGGGACCCGACCCAAAACAGTGCGTCGCGGGACACATTTTGAAAGCTCACTGCGGGCGCAGGAGGGAGCGGGATTATACAATACGGGAGCGGGCGAGTGGGATGATAAACTCCCACAAACTAAATATGAGTGTAAAGTAAAACATACAAATGATGAATATAAACATATCATGCATCATTTGTGCTGGATATTTTATTTGGCATTAATAAAATCATTTTAAGTAGCAGACCGTCCCCCGTCCCTTACGCAGCGCAGACTGTCCCTCCTCATGTATGTCACGTGGGCTGTGCCACTAAACCAGGTCTAAAAAACAGGTCTAAAAAACAGGTCTATAAAACAGGTCTAAAAAAAACAGGTCTAAAAACAGGTCTAAATCCAGAACTGAAACAGGAGTAAAACAGGTTTTAGCCAGGATTTATCCATGCTGCCGGACCACCCCTCCCCCGATACGCAGCCCAGTTCCTTTCGCTTCTCCGTGTTTGCCAGAGAAAGCAAAGGTTCCCATCCTGCGGAACTTGCGGGTGGGAGCGGGACAAAATATTGCAGATGTGGGTGGGAGTGGGACTGAAAATTACAATTCTTTGCGGGAGCGGGCGGGAGCGGGACTGCACAGTGCAGGAGCGGGCAGGAGTGGGACTGAAAATTCTGTCCCGTGCAGACCTCTACTTTGACTTGCCTGCATTTGACTTGGGACTTGACTCAGACTCGAAGTCAAAGACTTGAGACTTAGTTGAGACTTACAAAACATCGGCTTGGTCCCACCTCTGCCAGTATCAGGTCAGTGCATCTCAAGTCTTTACGTTACGTAATCCCTCTGGTCAGTTACAAACCAACACTGATCTAGGTATTAGGTCGTGTTAAAGGTGCACTGTGTAACTTTTGTTATGGAGGGATTCTGTCCTGTCTGTCTCCATGGAGATGTAAGTTCTAGGAATTTTCCACAGTATGGCATCATGGAAACAAGTCTGCGGACTTGTTTCTTTTATTAAGTCTTTTTGTGCAAACTATCACAATGCTCCACATTGTCTCAGATGATGACTATACAGCGGGCACAAACACAATACATATTCTTGAAGTACAAATCGCCTTAAACACAGAATTACCAAGTTACAAGTATGTAGCTAGTTGGACGTTAATTAAAAAAGTGTTACTGATACAGATGTCTCTGTAATCCCTCAGTCGTCCAGGAATGATCCATAGCAGAACGACACAGTTCACACTTCGTGCAGTTCAGTAGAGCAGAACTGTAAACAAGTAGGTGTGTTAGTGTCAGTGTAGATAGAAGGCAAAGAAGGATCTACTTGAATGAGCGGCAAAATGTTGTTTTTGTCTCGTTGACAGAAGTGAATTTTTCTCCTGCTATGTTACTGATACACTTTATAAGTTAGTGGTGTGTCTGTGTGTTTTGTGGTGTTGCAGTGGATAGTGGAGATGGGCGTGCGCTCCGGCCTCTCTCATGCCCTCCTCCGGCTCTCCTCAGTGGGGCTGATGGTGTTCTTGGGGGTGCTGGTGCTTGCTGTGTGGGCAGAGGGAAGAGACTTCTACGCTCTGCTGGGAGTGAGTCGAGGGGCTAGCACCCGAGAGATCCGCCGTGCCTTCAAACAGCTGGCCCTGACCATGCACCCGGACAAGAACCCGGTCAGTATACGCAACAGGCAGCTAGAGTCCACACAAATCACTCTGCACCACATCATACACTTCACAGGATTGGACTCACAGAGAAAACTGTGAAGAAAGAAGTCAGAGCAGTGTTCCCGTTAGTTTTACTGGATTGGCAGGTGGGGTTTGGCCACATACAACCAAGTGCTCATCATACACTTGTGCCTGCTTCAGGATAACACTATGCAGCAATAGATTATACAGATTTATAAGTAAGGCAGCTAAAAAAATGGAAAGGTACCCAACCCTAATCATTGAATTCTATGACTTGACTCCTACACCTGCTCGGTGTAGTATCCAGTATAACATTCTGCTGATTTCCTCAGGGAGACGCGTCGGCTCATGAGAAGTTCCTTCAGGTGAACCGGGCCTACGAGGTTCTAAAGGACGAGGACCTGCGCAAGAAGTACGACAAGTATGGAGAGAAGGGGCTGGACGAGCAGCAAGGCGGCCGATACGAGAGCTGGAACTACTACAGATACGACTTTGGTCAGTGGTGCTCAGACTGAACACACTCCTCATGGTATTGATACTTTCACATCACTTTGACACCACGCTGGGGGTGCTCTACTTGTATGTCTATGGTGGAAAGTTCAGCAGTTCCATGGTGACACAATGCACACATTAACAAACAAATACAAAAAAGTACAAAAGAACAACAACTACAAAATGGATTTAAACAGCATATATTAAGGAGCGTTCATGCTCCTGTTTAGGAGTTTGATTTCTAACAAAAAAGGAGAGAGTGACTCACTGAAAAACTGCAGACTTGTTTAACAGCACAAATCACCTCACCTGTTGTAGTTCCAACTAAACCGGCTTTTTCACATAGCAAAGCACTGCTGCAACATTGTTAGTGGAATCTAATTAGTATCAAAACAAGACATTAGTCACACATAATTCTTCCCTACAAATTCACGTTAATTCCTGGGCCAGGCTGCATGTGTGAATGAGGTTTAGGAGAAATGTGTAGAAGACTACTGCGCCGTTAGCAGCATCACTTGAATGCATGTTCCTAACCTTCAGTGTCTGTGCAGGGATCTACGATGACGACCTGGAGATCATCACTCTGGACAGTGGAGACTTTGGTGAGTTCTAGTTCATCTCTATGGTCATGAGCTCTGGGTAATGACCGAAAGGACGAGATCGTGGATACAAGTGGCACACATGAGTTTCCCTCGCAGGGTGTCTGGGAGCTCCCTTAGAGCACAGGTAAGGAGCTCAGTCACACAGGAGGAGCTCAGAGTAGAGCCACTGCTCCTCCTCGTCAAGAGGAGCCAGTTGAGGCTCGGGCATCTGTTCCAGATGCCTCCTGGGCGTCTCCCTCGGGAGGTGTTCATGTCCCACCAGGAGGAGGCCCCGTGGAAGACCCAGGACACGCTGGAGGGACTATGTCTCTGGGCTGGCCTGGGAACACCTTGGGGTCCCCCGGCGGAGCTGGAGGATGTGTCTGGGGTGAAGGAAGTCTGGGAGTCCTTGCTTAGACCGCTGCCCCCGCGACCCGACCCCGGGTAAGCGGAAGAAAATGGATGGATGGATAGTTCATCCCTGATGACATAGAACTGGAGTTAAATTCATAACTTTTGTTTTCTGTCAGTGCCTATGATTTCTACAGCTGTATCAAACAAAAGGAATGCCTTCCCCTGTTATTTGGCCCTAGTATTTATTTATTTATTTGGTTGATTTAGCAGGGACAGTGTACATTAATCATCATTTCCCTAAATGTACCACAGTTAGCCAGAGAGGCGATTTTTCATCTGACCTCCCCGGACAGACCGTAAACATGGTCACACTGAATCATCATTAGATGATCACATAAAGAACTAAAGAAGTCATTGGTGTGAAAAGATGCACAAAGCGTGACTACACTGCTCTCTTACAGGGTAATAGTAAAACGGACTGTGGGTGAACTTGTAGTAAATTTAAATTATACACAATTTGAAGCTTATCATCTCAGGTTTCTAAATGGAAAGTAATGTCTATGTCTCATCATCATTATAATTCTCATTAAATATCAATTCACCTATCTATTGTTAGACTAGATTTACTGCTGACAAAACCCTGCTTATGTTTATCCTTCCTTAGCATAAACACACACTGACGTGCCTCTTGTGGTTGTTGTATGTTTCAGAAGCAGCTGTGAACTCTGGAGAGATCTGGTTTATCAACTTCTACTCTCCACGCTGCTCCCACTGTCACCAGCTGGCTCCCACGGTAACTGCTCTGCATGTGTCAGCGAAACCCGTCCTGACAGGAGCATGCACAATTTGGGATTATCTTTTTCACAGTGATGACTCTGCAGCTCATAATCACTCCATGTTTAATATCTCATCTATTATCTAAATGTAAATCACTATTAAGTGCAAGGGGGTCATATTATGCTGGGATAGTGAGGATTCAACTAGATTTCAGCACTGAACCTGGCAACACAAATAAGACGCTAAGCTGAGACCGAAATTTGAATTATCGCTTCAGTTAATAATACAAATTGGGAAATCAATTTCTCTTTTAAATGAAATGTTCCCATCACTGAGCAGTCGTATATGTGTACTTTTTGTGTCAGTGGAGGGAGATGGCCAAGGAGATGGACGGTGTGATCCGGATAGGAGCCGTCAACTGTGGGGACAACCACCAGCTGTGCCGGAGGAAAGGCATCCACAGCTACCCGAGTCTGTACCTCTACAGAGCAGGACAGGTAAACACACCAACCACCAGTGGCCCATCACACTGGGAAACTCTAGCGTGTTATACAGTCAAAAGTCAAACTTGTGACTGGTAGTGTATTTTTTTGCCATAGAGCTCCATCTATAATACACATGCACAATATATATCACAATTCACTGGAAATGATAATCTGAGTTACCACAGCTGTCGAATTGCAAAGGTTGCAATCATTTAGATGTTCTGTACTTTTATAGAAAAATCTTGTTGTACGTGTAGTTCAGACTTCTGCAAACGTGTTTTCAAATGAATGGGGCTCTTGTATGAGTTTGTCAATTCAGAGGCCTGTCCCTGTGTTTTGGTCTTGTTCTGCAGACTCCAGAGAAGTTCAGTGGGGAGCGCTCCAAAGACAACCTGGTGCGCTTCTCCATGCAGTTCATCAGCACCGTGGTCTCCCAGCTGTGGCACGGTAAGGCTCTGCCTTTTCTTATCTGGGCTTGAAATGGAAATAATCTGTTGTGGTATAATGTGATATAAAGGGAGTACACAGACAAAACAATTTTTTTTATTTTTTTTGCATTTTATTTAATTTAACAACGTCATCTCTAAGAGAACTAATAACACATGACTGATTCCGTGTGAGATGTCCCTTGCACAGCTCTGTCAAGG